ACACCCTCACCCCATTAAGACTTTCTTTGGATGGCTGTAGTAGGAAAAATCATTACCCTGCAACATACCCATTAATTGAAAGTGCAGATTTTTTTCTTTAATTGTAAAATTCTCAGTTTTCTAATCTACATGTGTCTTCGTTGATTCCATGTTTCTCCGTTGGAATTTGTTTTTCCTTTTTCATTTTTACTTATTTCGGAGAAAATATACTTAATCTTATTAAAAAATTTTTAAAAACTTTCATTTTCCATTTCGAGTCGAAAAATCCAGCGCAATGGTACACAGTGGTATGCTTTGGCTCTTCAAACGAAGATAATTGTAGGAGACGTAAAAGCGAAAGGTTCATCAGCCTGCAGTGCACGCGTAATTTTGGCGAGCGAGTGCTCAGTGTTTACTAAGCGAAATTATGACCATCATCTTTGATTTTTATGGAAGCGATAGGCTGAGGAGGGAACGAAATTGGCACTAAGGGGGTGAGTGACACCCCACCCCATCCCCCACCGTCAACTCTGACTCCAAATCAAACATGGCCGGTTGAGCTTCTAAACGTTATCTCGCCTTAATAAGACAACTGCACTACAGGCTAAGGGTTCATTGACCCATGAACTTATTATCAGAGTTAGTTAACGTCAAGTTTCAATTAGACTCGTGATTTATATCCTCCATTAGTCACTTCGGTGTTATCATCCGCTGATCACGTATGTGACATTGGGTCTATTCAACGACGTTACAGATTTCGTGAAAGATTACGTGCTTCATGTCGTTACTAGTGTGAAAGTTTAAAACGCAGTTTTGGTGTACGTAATTACGTCATGAAAGAGGGAGGTCGCAGTTATTGAGCCGGGGGTCTCTCCTGAAAATTAGTGCAAACATATAAATGAATGTTTATTCAGCCTAAATGCACACCGTTTCCAAGTTCCTCCCATGTGGCGGCTAAGTCCACAAACCTTAAGTAAAGTTTCTTCGACTTCTGCACAGTTTCTTTTCTACATGTAATCTAAATGACGTTTTTCGGCTTTGAGCCATATACTTACAGCATCCAAAATGCCAAGATGACCCTCCAGGTAGGCCCCTAATTCTTCCAAAAGATCAGCTACGTGGCCATCATTGAATGTAAGCTAAAATGAAATTTTGTAAGCCTTAACACTGAAATAGCTCGAAAAGTTACAACAAAAATACCGTTCTACTGAATCACTGCAATGAGGCTTTCTTATCTATCGCAATTGCTCTTGATCTGACATTTTCCTAAATTGAAGAGTCTAGCGCGCGTAAGTTCTTTGAAGACGCAAATGGTTTGAACTCGAGGTGTGAACTGCGAGATCTGGACACGACTTCATTTACTTATTCATTCGATAGTGAATTTGCAAATGGCCGCGGCCTAGTACGTTTCCGTTAATAACTTGGGTAGAGCAAGTGGGAAAGTTAAGACCTTTTCCAAGAGTCTGAGACAGGGAATTCGAAAGCTGTTGAACTGGTGAAAGGTTCAAACTTTGAGAAAGGTCCTTCTATTATTCAACACTTATGCAAGCAAAGAATTTTGATATTTTTTCGCAAAAAGTACCGGATTAACTAATTCAAACTGGGAGAAACTTGTCTGAGTTGATCGGTTTGTGTCGGAGGCTCTTCTATTCAACACTTATGCAGGTAAAAAATGTTTATATTTATGGGCTAAAAATACTGGCTGAAGTTATTCTTTACTGGGAGAAACACTTACATGTTGGTCATGACTTCAAACACATGTGGTGGCTTCTAAAGGAGCCGTTTTGTTTTAGCTCCGAAAAGAGCTGTTTTTTTATTGAGTACTTCGATTTTTCTTCAATTACTTTCTGTTGTGGCTACTTCTGATCCTGCAAAATAAAATAATGAAATTCAGTCGGGTCAACAAATTAAAAGTATCATAGTTCTCAATATGTACAATTATTGCACAGAATTATTTTTTAATGCTGTGCAATGCTTTGAAATGTCCTGTAAGATATTTATTGCCTGACATTGCCTTTATCCGTCTTCGTGATTGTTGATGTATGTGTCTATGCTACCTTGGTCATCCTCCAACTTTTTAATGTATGATCTTTTGTTTCGGTGCAGGTTGCATACTCTTGCAAAAACTTTCTATTTTCTTTCTCCATGACCTGTACTGTGTGCTTGGAGTTCCTGCCACCCTTTTGTGTACCACGATGAAACCCGTGACTACCCATTGTTTTTTTTTTTTTTTTTTTTTTTCGACGGGCTGGCAATTTACTTTAAAAATACAGCCACATTTTTCAAGAAACTGAGGTACATGGTACACAAGAGCTACAAAAAATAATAAAAGAATGATAATGATTATCATTATTCTTATAGTTATTAATATCATTGTAATCCAGTTTTTTAAGATTGGTTTACAAGATTATTGACCTACCATGTATGTAGGGAGTTATGTCCTCGTCAAAGTGCACCACTCTGAAAAATTTCGCCCATTTTCGTGCCCTCTCTTGAAATTGCTGAGGAGGTAGATATTGTTCCTCTCTTATTTGCGCTTCTAGAGCTGAAAATAGCTCAGAAAAACCCTGGAATTGAAAGTAACCTTTTCAGTTTTTTCTACTCTTCTTTAGTTACAAAATGATATTTTCACTTTTAGCAAATTAGAAGTATACTATCTGTTCAAAACCTATTTTTGCACATTGTAAGATATCAAAAACTACAATACCTTCCACAGCTTTTTCACATCTTGTAGGTGGCCATCCCCTGATTTTGGAAGCCATCAAAGATTGCCTTCAGCTCCAAATTTTCCAGTATGTTGTGCTGATCTTTACCTAAGCCAAATTTTCCATTATGTTGTGCAGATCTTTACCTGAGCCAAATTTTCCATTATGTTGTGCAGATCTTTACCTAAGCCAATTTTCCATTACGTTGTGCAGATCTTTATCAGAGCCAAATTTTCCAGTATGTTGTGCAGATCTTTACCTAAGCCAAATTTTCCATTACGTTGTGCAGATCTTTACCTGAGCCAAATTTTCCATTATATTGTGCAGATCTTTACCTAAGCCAAATTTTCCATTATGTTGTGTAGATCTTTACCTAAGCCAAATTTTCCATTATGTTGTGCAGATCTTTACCTAAGCCAAATTTTCCAGTATGTTGTGCAGATCTTTACCTAAGCCAAAATTTAAAATGCACATTAGATTCATATTTGCTCCTGCAACTTCTAGTTGCTTGCAAGCAAATCTGATTCTCTGAGGAATCTGCAGTCAAAGAGAAAGTTTCAGCATTGTATAAATAGGTATTAATTAGATGTCGGTTTGAGCAAACACAAAAAAATTGTGGAAGGAGATTATTCAGTTTTTCTTGCTTACGAAGCGCGAAATTTAAATATACTCGGATTGAACAGTCGAGTCGAACAGGAGAAATTGACGAGCGTGTGCGACTATTTCCACTTGCCATTGTTTTTTTAACTCCTTTTTGTTGAATTGAAACACGGAAAGAGAATGATACCCGTAAAACTACATGAATTAACGAAGCGCGAGGCTTCGCACGTTATTACCAGGTTTAAATCACACGCTAGAGGAAGGAGAATATGAACCTTTTTGTGCACATCAGGAACAAAATCTCATTCACGCAGTGCGAAATTTAAATACACGCACATTAAACAATCGAGCAAATGACGATAGTCTTCTGCATGATTCAACGGCGTGGTAGGCTTCGGACGTTAATACCAGGTTACACATGCTCTCATTACCTTTGCATCGCAGAGTGAGCCTCTAATTGAATATATCTTTCGCCAGTTTTAAGCAATATAAAGGAAAAAACGGTGACATCTCTTTACTTCAGATACGAAAGCTACAGTCGCCCCACCATCCACCCCACCGTGACTATTTGCATCCTAAAAAAAATACCAGAATCACCCCCACGGGGAGGATTTGTCTTATCATCAGTTTTGCCGATGGTTTAAATCTGCCGCTAGTATAATAATCGGAAATTTTGAAAAATCCCGCGTGTATTTTAAAGCTGTTTCCGCCAATGTTCCAAAGTAGCCACACACGGTCATTGTTAATCGTTAAACAAAGCCTGCTTAACTTTAAGCTGATCCGCTTTTCTTGATACGCATCACTTACCGGTTGATATTTCAGTGATACTATAAGGATAAATTCTCTTTTGGTCACTCATGGGAGTTAAGCATTGTAGATTACGATTCTCTAAATTGTTAAAACCAATCAAGCTGAAGAACTAATGACGGTAAGAGCTGAATAAAGGCTGATATTCTAATCGTCAATGGCACCAACTTAAGGCAATACTTCAGTGCTCCAGCAGATTAAATTGTAAAAATGAAGGATAAATTTGTCGAACAAACGCCTAAAGAAGTGCAATGTCGTTTACCGGGACTCCAAGTCCTCGCAGAAATTTCCTGTTACTATATTTACCAAAAGGCTGTTGATATACAAGACTATTCAGGAATACTTCAGAAAAATTACCCACCTCATGAGAGATAATTACATTTTGACGAATTACCCTTCATCGAAATGAGATAGAGCGTCAAGTTTGTCTTTCAGTCTCTTCATATTCATGCAATATCCTTCCTGAGAAGCATTATTTTCTGTAAATTGGTTGATGTCATTGAAGTCATTCGAAAGATCAATTTCCAACCATTTAAGCCGAATAAAGCCTTCAAAATAGGACTGAAATTACAAGGAACGTTAATTCCACAGATTATCCTGCAAATAAAAGGATAATTCGAATTAATAGCAACAAAGGGAACAGCTACAGGAAATATAACTTTATTTACGTGTGTCTGAAATATATAATGCACTGAATGATGGAAATTTGTTTGGAAAAACACTCGCGGGCAATGAAATAAAGTTCAATTAACTGGCGAGTTGTTACGTTCAACAGAGGATATTTGATGAAATCTTTGTTTCGGGTTAATACGTACGGATACTACTGGGTTACGTACACAAGATACTGGAAGACTTGAGAAAAAAAAATAATCAAGTTGTGTGGTTGCCTTTTCAAAAAGAGTTGCTAGAATGGGGTCGCACATATTTGTGATTTTAGGGGTAAGAAAATTCCGGTAAGAACAACATGTAGGGATTTCAAGATTTAAAAATTTGCGTTTAAAGAGTTGTTACGTACCGTGTTACCAAGTGACTAAGATGAGGGTTGTACTTGGCCTCCAAATAGGCTATTATGGAATAGGGGCTCTGAGAGGCCAGCGGTACAAACCCTAAAAAATTGACTCATTTCCCCCTTTGAGTGGTTATTTCGCTTACTCTGACTTCAAATCCAAATTAATTAATGGCACACCTAAATTTTTTGTAGCCATTCGATACTTTAGGGGAAAGTATGTTCTGAAAATCAGAGTCCATATGGCTCATCAAGGAGGTCACTTCTACCGACTAAATTCGAGGCCGTTTTTAAGGTATGCTGAAATAATAGCATAGCATAAATCCTCCCTTCCTGTCGGTCAAAATCTGTTGACCTTTATGTTTGCTTTGGTCTTCTTCATCAGGCGCCGAGTATGAACGCCTCTTCAACTGCTGTGAATTCATCAATGTCTGCAAACGGTAAGAGACAAAGCACAGGTCCAACTCAAACACCTGCCCTTTAGTTTTTCAATTAAAAGGAGGGCGTCCCCCGCCTTCAAGCCAGTCTTGCCATTTCAAACCCCGAAACCCGTGTAGTGTTACGTCAAAGCTCGTAGCCTAAGGATTGGCCTAATTAGAGTGTGTGTTACTGACACCAGTGGGTTCAACACTCAGTTGTGAAGAGGGTTGGTTCTGAACAAATGGATCATTTGGGTTGTTTGCAGTCATAGAACGTTATTAGAGACATTTAGCACCAGGGTTTTCGCATTAACGGCAAACCTGAAATGGAACTTTCAGGTTAGGCGTTTGGTGTTTTGACGTTTATGGCTCCTACCGCTTTAGCTACACCTCTCCAACCTCAAGCAAATTTACGTAGAAAACAAGTGAATTATGAGAAGTTCCAGAAAATGGCGGCTGCTGCAAGGTTAGTTTTTCTAAGCTGATGCGCTTTCAGGATTTTTTGGAGTTCTCAAACGATCATTTATCTGCAAAAAAGAAATACATTTTTTATTTTCCATTGCTAAGGTATGATTTTGAGGACATCCTTACTGTAGCTCTGGCCTTTGACATTAGTTCTTCAGATGATTTGTGCGATGAAGTATTCTATCCATCTTTTCTCGACATCCTCTCCCTTTGACTTCTACTTGTTTATCATCAGTAGAAAAAGCTTTGCTGAGTATTTTAGCTACTTCGTCCCACTCTTGGGGCTTTTCAGGGAAATACTTCGCCACCTCCTATGCAAGGGCTAGCTCGTGCTTCATTTCTGACTATCGGAATAGAGCCATGATACCCTGGAATTATAACATTTTAAGCTTTCTCAGATACCATCTACTGCTGATTGAATGATAAACCTTAAAGGTGAGAAAATCCTATGAGTTATGAGTTCACAGAAGGCCACTAGCGACCGTAAACTTCGAAAAAAACATGAAATTGAAGAGGCCGCCATATTGAATTTCCAGACAACAGCAGTGTTTGATTTTCAAATGGCAACAAGAAGTCCTATTTTCACTCATTCGCTATAAGATATATCTAAACTTGTTCTAAAAAGACTGGTTTACAAAACTTTCTGATTTGTACGTGGCATAAAAACAAATTCAGGATAAAAAACGTTCAGGTAAATCACTTACGTAAAAACCTACTTCTTGGCGTTAAGAACTCCGAACGTGACCACAGGGCTTGATCACGTGACCTCCACCGCCGTTTGCCGTTCGAGGTTTCCGCTGAAAACCCTGGTGCTAAATGTCACTACTGACACAGGATGTCTTGCGCGAACAGCCTACGCCTTGCCTCAAACGTTGCTGAAAGTGGTTGAGTTCTTGTCGCAAGGGGCCGAGAGTATGCTTTGTGTTTTTGTTTTGTTTTGGCCAAATCCATTCAGTCTACACTTCACATTCAAACGCCTAGGTTCGCAAGCAGCCAAGATCGAGCTGTCAAGTTCAGCATAACGCACTTGATTCCCCCAGTGCCTTTCTCAACTATCCATTTGTTTTGTCTGTGTCCATGACGTCCTAACGCTGATTTTATCGTGTTTTAGCTTCCACAGTGCAGGCTCCATTCTCGTACCCATCAAGTATTAAACTCACCTTCGCCATTTTATACACTGCAATCATTTCAGTGGCCTTGGTTGGAAACATTTTGGTGATCTACATACTATACAAGAGGCCAGAAACCAGGAGATTAACAAGCTTCATGTACGTCAACCTCGCTGTGGCCGACCTGCTCGTAACAGTTGTTGTCATGCCTCAGTCGATGGAACTAATCATTTTGGACAATCTGTGGATCGATGGAGCATTTGGTGAATTATTTGCAAAGCTCATCATGTTTGTTTTTTACGTGGCGGTCACAGCGTCCGTCTTCTCTCTAACAGCTGTGGCTTTTGACTTCTTCTTCGGGATTGTCTTTCCCATGCAAAAGTTCCCTCGCTTTAGGAACAAAAAGATCTTGGTTCCCACAATTTGGATCATCTCAATGTGTCTAATGGCCCCATGGCTGGTCATAATCAAAGTTAAGAACTCCAGGATAGAATTTAAGTTTAGTCAGTTTGGCGAGACTCAAGCGGCCTTAAGAGGTGTGTTCCTTTACCTCGTAGTCACCATCTACTTACTGCCTGTAGTTACCATTTGTGTCCTCTATGGGTATGTTTGTTACACGCTACAGAAGCATAAACTACCGGGAGTTGAAATCAAAAATCGCGCAAGAAATCGCACCAACGCTACCAAGCGCAAGGCGATAAACATGTCAATCGCTGTCGTTGTTGCTTTTGCTCTTTGCTGGCTCCCAGCGCACGCGCATCATATGATTCTGGCCATAGACTTCAAACTGAGTCTATCCCTGCCATATTATTTCATGCTGTTATGCTATTGGCTTGGACATGCAAACAGCGTTGTCAACCCCTGGCTCCTGATATACTTTAGGAAGAAATTTAGAGCCGAGTTTCGGAGAATGATATCTTACCCATTAATGAGAATCTCATTCTTGAGTAAAACAAATGGGAGCGTAGGGAGTGAGGCCAAACAGCCAATACTGGATCAAACTGTCCAGTCTACTGTTGTATACCAGTTTACAAGTGCTGTGTAGAGATAATTTTGCAGTAAACAGTATTCATTCTAATCATTGCATAAACACAGTTAAAAGGAATCATAACTTATTATTTTGTTTAGCATCATTTATCACAATGGCTTTTACTATGATTGTTGTCATTATACCTATGATAACGTACTTTAAGACATCCGTCAGCTAGAAACCAAACCAAACCACGAACCTGTAGCACTGAAGGATTAATGTTGTAACTATTACCATTAGTTATTATTGCAGCATTGAGATTTTAATTTTTTTCATCATCATTATCCTTACTAACATTATGATTTATTTATTTCAAAAGTAGATGTGTTTTGCTAAATTCCAAATGCAACAAACTAGTTCCTTTTATTTAGGGCAGTTTTTGGAAGACGAAATCTGAAAAATACCACTCCCTTCTGAGTCCACGTCCTTCCAAGTATCAACAATTGTATATAATGTTCTTACTACAGCTTAAGTCCATGAAATAATACACGAACAAAACGACCACTAGTGGCATTGCTATAGTAGTGTTCACCAGTACAATTGTACAAAGACTGTCGAGGAAAAAGCGTAAGAAGAAAAAGCGTAGCAGGAAAGGTCGTTGTTCAAAATCTATCACCAAATTTGTTCCGTGAATTTGTTTAGATACAAGGTGAAAAAGATCGACAAAAAGTGACAACATTATGGTACCTTCCAAACCAGTTTCAAAACTAGAATACGCGAGACAAACAAGTTGCAGATATTAAAAACCTTCAAGTTCGTTTCAGATTATAGAAATAGTGCAAGTTACGGATGCAATTCCCGAAAGAAAAAAAAGTTTCTTTCCAATACATTTTCAGTAACTGGAGTAAGAACTACTAAATCTAAATTGATCTCATTCTGCCATGTCTCCAAACTAATCATATATGACCTTACCAATTTAATAATACTTGTTGTGGTTGCTTTCACCAAATATAATAATTCGTGTACTCTTCCTTGGTTGAATAAGATTAATAAATAAGGAAACCCAAGGAGGAAATAGCAGTCATTTATTTTCGTTCAGTTTCTGTTTCGCTTGAGTCATGTTGCTTTTGCCTTAAAACCATCGCTTTCTTGAAAATCCTCACAATTTAAAAGGTAAAGAGAGGGTGAAAGTTCCCTTGATTGGTTGCAAGTCACCAAGCGCTGTCTACCACTCTTTCTCCGGGAGGCGTTGTGTGACAACCAAAATCAAGGATATGGAAGAGTAATAACTGTCTTGGATAAGTTCTCGCCACGCAACGTTACGTACCGCTTATCCCATGGGAGAAATATGGAAAGATAGGAAGCATAGCACAGAAACGCCAGTAATGTTGGGGTACTCTTTCATGTCCTTATCGAGACGAATGGGATTCACTCGCTTCTTTTCGGTTATCCTTTGATAACAGCGATTGGTCTCAGTTTAATGGCCTTCTGACTAATTCCCGCATCATGGCCTAAATTAGGGTATAAAGATAAAACATCGCCAAAAAAAAATAATAATAATAATAACCAAACAATCAGACAAACAAAAACTACAAAACAAAAACAAAAACTAGAAAAACAAAAACTAGAAAAACAAAAACAAAAACGATACAAAATTAACAAAAAGTTAATTAAAAGACGAATTTAAAAAGTGCTGTTGTGATGAAACACGCATCTTTTCAAGCTTATTATATTGACAGAGATAGGTGTTTACACAATCCTGATGTCAACCTGGATCGAGTAAACGACATCATCAGTTTCGTGATCAGAATATTTCGTGATTTTTTTCAAATTTAACTTTCTCCGGAACTAATGCAAACATTTCACAGGGGAATTCTCTATTATGCTTCTCAAGTTCAAAGAGGTGAAAACTTGATCACGGAGGCACTTCAGTGTTTGATGTTGAAGATAGGTGAACTGATTGCAGAGAGGAAAAACGTGATTTGCTTTGAGGGAAAAAGAAACTGACTCTAACGACTCTTAGTTATCTCTGCCAGATAGGACACCTTGAATGCAGAAGAACGAGTTCGTGTCTAAGGTAGGGACTCCTGCATCGTCAATGAGTTGTCGTCTTTAGGTTTGAATCTAATTGTCTCGGAACTTCTTGGAGTTAAAATGTATCTTGAGGGATTGTTTTCTTTTTAAACCGTTGACAACACAACACAATTCTGCAACAGTGGCTCAAAAAGCAAGTAACATCGAACAACAAGAGACGCTTATACTTACAAGTGTTAACGACATCAGTGACGTTTTTATAAGACTCAGGAGCCTGTTAAAAAGGTGAACAAAAATGCACGGAATTAACGCACATTTTCTTTTTTTAAGATTTCAACAGCTTTTGATGCAATGCCATGGAAGCTACAGCATGAAAATGAATTTTAAAAAAAGGCGGCCATTTACTGATTCGTTACCTCTTCCATAACCAGTTTTGGGGAAGCCACTCTTATTGAGATTCCTTTGGATTTAAGACTATCGAGAACTTCTTGATAGTCAATATTTCGGCTGAAAGAGAATGGAAAGGAAAATTAAAACTGCATGAATGGAACTATGTTTATGACTAGGTCAAGATGGACCAGCTGATGACTTTATTCTTAGTACTACTAACACATACCGTGACTTTGATCTTGATAATGCTCTTCCCTGAAGAAAAATGGATAGATAGATAGTATATATATATATAAATATACATTTCAAAACACTTTCTGGGAAAATGGGAAAGAAAAAATCATAACAAACAAACATATTTGCCTACACGTTTCAAACCTTATCCAACCCAAGGTTTGAAACCAGGAAATGCTGTGGTCATTTTGCATTTTTTTTGTCATCATGCTTTCAAATCAAGAAAAAATATTGCATATAATATATGAACTTACCGCTCCATGACACGTGGTACCAAACGTCTGGTTCATTCCCTTTTCCGTTCCTGTCAAAACGTAACTGAAAACGAAACAAAACATGGAACAATTTGGGTCTCCATGTCTGCCCAGGATAACCAATAGTTTCGTCCCTCGTGAAAAAGTGTTTTTCATAGGGCTATATGTATAGGGATCGAAAACGCCAACAATAATACCAAACACCTACAATAATAACAATACCTTTGAACGTTACTTCCCCGAGAATACTTTTTAACTTACCTACACCTACACTACCTACCTACACCTACACTTTACCTTACCTACACGTGCCCATGGTTCCTCCAATCAGTACAGGTTGACCAGTCAACTGATAAAATAATGGACAAGACGATGAGTACATGTAACTCAGCAAGAGCAAAGAAAATTTTCATTGATTTGAGTCGTGAAACAAACCGCTGCCTGTTGAGCCGCTTGCGCACTTGAGCCAAGGAAGAAGCGAATAAATGAAGCCGAAGACAAAAGAAGGTAAAAGTAAAACAAGAAAGGTGCTTGCCCTCAAAAGGAAGTATGGTGCTCTGCGGGTTCCAATCATCGAGCGATTGAAGGGAAACGGAGGGAAGGGAGAATGAACGTGACGAAGAATGCGATTAAAACTGGGAAAGAAATAGTCCAACACGAAAAGTGTTGGACCAGTAAAATAACCTCGGAGCGAACGACTGTAAGCACTCAAACAACGATTTCTAACTTAAAAAAGTAAAATAAAATAAACCTTAAACCTTGCGATCGAAAGGAGTAGTAAACAGTGAATAGCCGACCTGATAATCCACTGGGATAAGCGGATGATGAGGAGGAAATGCACGGGTTGATCCTTTCCTGTGTACTAAGAGAGTCTTCTGTACACCGTCCAATATCTAATCTACTAGCTAAGGTAAGTAAGTAAGTAATTTCAAAAGTTAAAATAATTGTGTATATATATATATATATATATATATATGTATAGGGAGTCTGCAAGTCGATTTTCGCGTGGAACAGTGCTCAATACGTTGAAGCAGAGCGGAATAAATATTTTAAGAGGAAAAAAGGACACAACTACATTTTCCCGACAAGCCTGTTTCGTGGATCTATATATATATATATATATATATATATATATATATATATATATATATATAATCCAAAGAACTGAAGATATTGTTGTAATAACAATAAAGAATACATGTTCCTCGATCTTTGCAATGTTGTGTGACACGTCATAGATCACTTGCATGTCTAAGTCGTCCGGGGTACTCTCGAAAATTTTTCCGAAAGCTTGTCTTGTCAAAAATGTCATCGTTGAACGGTTCACCCAAGCGTAATTCGCTGCTGCAGCCATGCCTTTGAGGTAATCTTGACCTTCTTGTGAGTTAACTCTGGCACAAGCAAGCTGTAAAGGAACCAATTATATGGTTGTCAACACTTGTGTTTAAAACGCACTATTTCTCCACGTGCCTTTACAGGGCCGTTCGTTCAGCTGACCATTGATCGCAATGTGAAAATCGACTCAACAGATACCAATAACGGAAAAAAGAGACAAAGTCAATTTATATTACACCTATCACGGCGAAACTTCCCCAAAACCATCCCACTATAATTGCACTGGGACCAATTGCTCATGTAATGACGTATAGAGATATCATTTCTGTATATGTGGTAAATTAATCAAGGCTCGTTATCCCTACTCTACTAAATTAGATGCCTGGATAAAAATACTTGTTGGAGAAACTGCAAACAAAGCTTAAGGGAAATTCTACTTTAGCAAGTTCCATTTAAGAGATGTCATTACAAGTTTCTTTGTCAATGTAGACGGCCATGACAAGTGCAATTGTCGTGGAGTACTTGACAAAATACAAACTTAATGCACAGACTTAAATGCACTACACTGTTAGCAAACCTGTCTGTCATTGACTTCAATCTTGTCCCTTTTCATGGCTTTCTCCATTTCTACCAGTGCATCTGTAAAACGAAGAAATCAAGAATGCATGACTCGGGTGACAGCGATCACCTGGAAAATAATCAAGTCTTGCCTTCTGTGGAGACATAAGTTAAGTCGATAATACATTCATTTATCTATCGTAAAGAGAGGAACGGTATATAAACCATTTACCAGTGGCCACTTGATGTCCAAGTCCTCTACTGCCACTGTGGATCATCACACAAACCTTTTAAACATAAATTATACAGTTATTGACAAGATCATTAGCAACCAAACTAACCCTAAACTAAAGAGTTCTAAGTGAGACCCAGTTGAAGCTGTTCGAGTTGGTAGTCGTGGTAGTTGGTAACTAAACGAGTAACAATTGATAAACACAAGAACTGAGAGATAATTATTATGAGGTTTGAAATGTAACGAGAGAGACTAAGAAAAGATCTTTCCTACAAGCTCAAGAGAAATATCAAGCAGCTTTCCTAAAAGATCTTCAATTGCTCACATGCCTCACTCCTTGCAAGTCAGAGATCCCATGAGTGACCAAGACTTAATTTCTACTTACAATATCAACACAATATCAACCAGAAAAGAATAAAGAAAAATATTAATTTGCGGATAATTAGTTGATCCAATACATAATTCTCTGAACTAACATCATAACAATTGTATGGTTGACAGTATGGAGAATTACAAATTTGATCTGGGAGTTAAAGGGTTAAGACGTAAGTGCCCTTTTTTCTACCTGTCCAAGATGATCAACTCCCATCTTCTTTGCAGCATAATTGTCGTAAATTTCATCCACAACCTGGATTTCCGCATAGTGATTCCCCGCTCCAAGAGTGCCAAGCTAATCAGTGGAGAAGATAAGCCATAACAGTTATCCTTTAGGGTTTCTAATGCTGACAAAGGGTTAACGTTCGAAACGTCAGCTTTAGGAACTCTTAACGGTGGCTAATTTACACATCAATTCAGTTCATAAATCATCTTATCCTGCTATACCCCCTAACGATACAGCACCGCAAATTTCCTAAAAACTTACCATTTTACTTAACCGTTAAGTAAAAGCCTACTTAGAGCTTGAAGTAATCTGTACGTTTGAGAACAATTTTGGTCGAAAGGCGAAAGTGATCTGGACGCCACTGGCTACTAACACTGTACAGTCATGGATGGAAACTCGTGCCACTTTCTCGCAAGATCAGACCAGGGCGTGGAATTGCGCCTAATACAGGCGCCAATGCGACTAAATTTTTCACTTTGGCGACCAAATCCTGAAAGTTAGTCGCCAAATTGGCGACTAGAACGTTTCATCATAACCTGAACAGTGAATTAAAAAGATTTGCAAAGATAAATCCGCGGCCAACTTCCTCGTTAAGTTTGTTTCCAAAACGTAGCACATGCATCTCGATCGATAACTAGACGCCATCTTGGATTTAGATGAGCCTGAACGTTGTATATCATCCATCCTAATGTCCACTTTGTAGCACGTTAAAGATCTTTTCCCGAACTTAATTTTGGAGAGTCTATCTAGAACGCTGACAGCGTAAAGAAAGATTTTGTTTGTCTTTGAAAATGGCGACCAACTTTTTTTGAATTGGCTACCACTTTGAAGAATTTAGGAGCCAAGTGGCTATCAGAAAAAAAAGTTAAATTCACGCCCTGCAGACGCAACTTATTCTAAAATCAGTCGCGACATGGTACTATATGTAGCCTCCCTCCCTCCCTCCCCCTCCCTAGCTCTGTAGAGTTTGCTCAATTTCGTAATAAGATCCCACTGGTTCCTTGCCATATTTGACTTTGTTCTACTTGCTCGTTGTAATAGCGTTCCCTTTGATTACAGAGGACTTTCGATAAAAGAGCGCCTTCACAACAGGCTGCAAAGAATCAGTCATCAATTGCGCTACCCTCGTCGCGCAGTCAACGCTCGTATCGAACGCTCCTGCTTATTTTATTCAGTAAGAGCTACAAATGAAACTTCTGTGCTTCTGTATTTACCTGCGGCAAGCCTCGTTTCTTTGCTCGTGCACTAACTTTTCCAGGGTCAGCCTGCAGCATTCGTCCGTACTCTTCACAATGCTCCTTATCCTCAGCCCAAGCATAACCTGTAATGAGAAGACAAAATTTCATATAACTAAGAAGCCTTCAGATGAACACCAGTGACACCTTAAATATGACCGTCACGATTTTCAACTTCCAATTTTGTTCACCTTAATACCAGGTAACGTAATTTTAAATTCTTTTAAAATACTTCTTTGAGATGGCACGTGTACAATGTATATCTAAATTTCCCAGTGACCCTTTCTCTGTTGTCCACTTCTCACTTGCCTCTTTCCGATAAAAACTACCCATTAAGCACCCTTATTTGGAATTTCCTAACTTACCATCACCCAAATCAACTCGAAAATGAATTAAAAACATCCTCACACCTTCTATAAACTGCATGGCTTTCATAAGACACCCCCTTAAAAATACAACCTAAAAGAAAATTTAAGAAAATGGCCAACCTTCTCTTAAGGACCAATCCATCCCCATTGAGAGAGCTTCCTCGAGATCTCTGTTGGAGAAAATGATTAGAAATATTAAAATGACTACAGAAAAAAAGTAATGGACCCAATACAGTGTTATGACCACGACAGAATTTCTTCTTACAATCTCAATTTACTATCAAGCAGACAAGTAATAAGGATAAAGAAAAATATCAAGTTGGGAATCACTGGTATCAGTTGATCCAATATCAAATTCTCCAAACTATCATCATAGGGATAGTATGACAGAAAGTAAGGAAAATTACCAATGAAATCTTGAGAGTGAAAGGGTTAAGCTTGTAACTGAAGTCAGAATAAACAGCTTTGACTGACAAGTTGTACAAGAGATGAAAAACTCAGCTTACTTTGCACCCATGGGAATAACACCTTTAGAGCCAACACCAACAGGAATATGATCAAAAAGTGACTGAAATGAGAAGGAAAAAAAAAATATATATATTATGGAAATTAGGAAATGTTAGCATAACTAACAAGAAACATGAAAACAAACAAACAAACAAAACAACAAACAAAAAACCAAAACAAACCAAAACAAACTAAAACAAAAAATAAAACAGTTCTCTTAAATGTTTTGCTGGTTTGCAAATGTTTCAGATAACTGAAGTCCTCTGTGCTCATTGAGTGCTCAGTATCCTCTAGGTGAAAATTATATCTTAGATACTTGTAGCAGAGGAGGAGTGGGGAGAGAAAGAAATTTGTACCAAGGGGGTAAATGGGGTAAATGACAGTCAAAAGGAAGAAGAGGAAATTTAACCATGATTTACTTTACCCTGTACCTGTGCTAATTGTTCTTTAACAGGTTTGACATCCTTCTCATCAAGGTTTGTCCTCAGTAGTCGCACTCCACAGTTGATATCAAAACCAACACCACCTAACACAGATGATCTTTTGTATGAGTACTTCTCATGATTATAAACAATAAGAACTTCTTTAAAATCAGATTTAGATGGGAGACTTCTTTTAAAGTAATCATACAATGAAAAAATACATTTCAAGAACAACAAGTTGTCAAAAATTTTGTGATCAGTGCCACAAGGACTTGAACAATTTTTAAATAATATGCATGTTATATGGCCAATTGAAAGCGACGCAAAGAAATGGCTTGTGTTTGTCATCACCATCTTGCATAACTAGTTAATTTAAAATGACCAATTCAGAACAAACTCAAAGAATAGCATATAAGGTATTTCATTGCTACTTTGGTCTTGCTACACTAGCTTATAATTTTGATCAATCATTAATAAATCTGTTCATCAATTCATTTATGAAGTAGACTTTTTTTTAACTTTACCAGGAGAAACAACTGCTTCCAGAAGAGACATGTCAAAGGCTGCCATATTCCCTACAAAAAGAGAAAAAAAAGAAAAAAAAGAAATAGAGTCCTACTCAAAGGTGAGTTTCCAAATTACTTCTTTTGTGAGAGACAAGCACCCCTTCACTTTTGGCACCTTGTCTCATAAGAGTCACATAAATGTTATGACTTAGAATTCTGTTGATAAAAAGAAAGATTACTCCATCTCAAGGAATTGTATTTATAATTTTTAAATCAGTTTTTAACTACTTTGTCAGAGAATTGCAAAATCCCTTCCAATCAAGGGTAATTACCGTAGCAAATAAGAACAAAGATGAGACTATGAACTATGAACATGCAACCAACTTTAAGAATGAGAGAGCAAGAATGACTTAATTTTGATTGCTTTCAGTATTGCCTCTGAATGGTTGAAGCATACTGTTACTTTTCTAGAACAACCACTGAGCAATTAGCCTATATTAAAAAATAAAATCCAATTTTAAACCCGAGTTTTATTTTACAATCAATTGGACATTGCATTTTATTTATTACAGATGTGTGAGTTGTAACTTACCAATAGCAAACCCATAGCCAGAATGAACATCTGGTAGTCCAACTGATCTCTGAGGGCCAAGTAAAAAATATGAGTAAACATTTCAGAATAGAAACTGAGATACATAGCCTTTTTTTTATTACTGTTGTTTGGTGGTATTGCTTTGGCATGTTGTCAAAATTACAGATTTTTCCTTAAAAAAAAAAAAAGATGATAAAAAAAGCTCTGCCTGGGGGTATATTGTCATTCATATAGTCCTATTGACGAGATGACAAGTTCTTTCAGAGATGACAAATCCATCTAAAGATGAATGATATTGTTTCTGAAAGTACTTTTTTCAGGACTTCTTTAGCCTGGAAAAAATATGTGCATTTTCCCTGAGTAGGATATTAGGATACTGGTATTCGACTCATATAATTTCAGAATTTAAAAGTATTGAGAAGGAAATAAAATTTTACCACAGAGAAAGTTCAACAAACCAAAATTCTGAAATAATGGGATAACTGGATGTGACTGGATAACTGGATGTGACTGGATAACTGGATGTGACTGGATAACTGGATGCTCTATTTGGCATCACTTTAAGTGAAATCTTTATGTGAAAATACTATGAAACACAAACTGTATAACAAGAAACTCTTCTGTCATCTCCCCTTTATACTTTCTCTGCTTCCCACGAGTACAGGGTCAGTTTGTTAAAAGCTGAGTTTAGATAACTAACAGTCAGTGTGAAATCTAATTTCATATCTGAAAGCTTTCAAATAAAATTCAGTATGTACAATTCTTTTAGTCTGCAATTTGATGATTGGATGCTCTAAAGAAATTATAGCTTATTATTTTTATCAATAAAGGGCAAAATTACTGAGCGCTGATTGGTTGAGAGAGAGGGCATTTTTTCTTAATCGAGGGCATTTTTAGTAATCAAGAGAGGGCACGATTACCTTGTTCAGTTAAAAGCACTTTGTTGTTTTTCTGTTGGCAGAAACGCTCTGTTGAAATGAGCTTTGTTTTCTAGACTTTTGGCAGTGTATCACGACACAGTTTTGGAGAATAAAATTTCATTGAATCGATTGGTCAGTTCAATTTGATTGATGATTTGCCGTAGCACTAAACAGGCTTCCCAGATAAAAATAGACTGCGCGCGTGATTTTCCTTCGTATAAATTTTGCCCTTTATTGATAAACAAGTAATCCCATGAGACCTCGTACTATTAAGGATTAATTGCACTTGAGTTTTCAAAATTTTCCAAATTGCCCTCGATAGTACTTGGCCTCATGTGATTACATATACTAAAAAGGCTTTTAAACAAAGGATTGAACACACCCTGATTAAAATTAATTTTAACTCCGGGTTAGCACTTATCATCCTTCCAACCACTGGGCCCAGGGTTGAACAAGTTTCAATTACACTAAGTTATAATTTCAACAAGAAAAAGTTATGATCATTCTTACACCAACAATTCCAGGCAAAGCTGCAACATTTGCAATCTGCTTTACACCAGGAAGGAAACCACCAATACCTGGAGAGCAATTTAATTTAACTGTATAAAAGGAATAAGACAAATGCAGCAAATACAACAGTATTATATTCCAAATGTTCAGAGTACTGTACCTTGAGTTCCAGCCCAGTTCTTCAGCTCATCAAACATTAGCTTTTCCAGCAACTCATTTATGTAGAAGATACCTTCAACCTTTAAAGAAAAAGAAAAAGAAAAGAATAGTTTGAACTTCGGAGTCGAATAGCTGCAATGCACAGCTCAAGTCTTGATCTGAAAGAGTGTGTAAAAATTTGTCCATGGTACTAATTGACTGGAACATTCTTGCAACAATTTACAGAAAAACGCCACAGTCTGCAACTTGGGGAAATGGAGATGGATAATGGATACAATTTGGTCAACCCTGTATTAAGTCGTCACCCACGGGAATAAGGCGTCCAATACAGCGCGAGTGCTTAAATACGGTGCCACCTAAGACAGGTTTGACTGCAGTTCGTGAATTGACTGATTGAAACAAAAAAAAACAAAAAAAGAGGAAAAAGTCCTGACATAAGAGACGTGGAGGGGGGCAGGGGGCTGGGATTTGATCATAACGTGAGCTGAAAAGGTGTGTAAGGGGGGGGGGGTGAACAAAATCTAGTTGAACCAATTTTCGTCGTGACAAAACTTATTTCAAATTACTTTGACGGATATGGCAGGTGTATGGGGATTTATTTTAGATTACATGGCATAATATAACCATCCTCACGTATTACATCGTAGGACGTGTATTTTGATGCGCACGCTACTCAGCTGGAGTTGGGCTTCCGATCCGATGTTTGGCGCGCGTTCACTTACCTTCATGTTTGGGACAAAGCCTTTCTTAATAAGAAACGAGTTTTTGTTTAAGCGCTCAATGAAAGAGCACTCCTCTTTGAATGTACGGTGTTCTTTCGCCATGTTAGTCCTTTCATTCACGTTTCACTACGGTTTCAGCTAATTCAGCGAAGAGAGAAAAGATCTGCCGCAGTAAATCAGCGCATGACTCCTGTTTGAATCACGCGCAGTACAATTTCTTATCCAGTCTTTCTCTGGCAAGTAATCCATAATGGCGGACGACGTGAGAGTGTTTTTATTAACTCTCTAGGGATAAACCAGAACTGTTGCTGTTATTCAAAATAAAGAGCGTTTACATTCAGTTTCTCAGTTAAAGCTCTTTGCTCATTGCTCCATAATGGCAGAGAAGAATTCGAAAGGGAAGAAGCGGAAATGGGAACCAGTAGAATTGGACGATCCTTCGTTCTTTGCGGGCGAAATGGATGGATTTGTGTCCCTTGAAGTCATGGAAGATTATGATCTAAAAGAACTAACAGGAATTGGTACAAGTGGACCAGCTCGGAAGAAGAAAATAAAAGAGCGGCCGCCGCAGAAGGTGAATTACTTAAAGTGCTTTAAAACCTACCGCGTTGTTAAATTCAGAAATAAGATTCAAGCACGTGGTGAAATTACTTTGTATTTGACTTAAGTTTGAGTATGTACATGTAACTGAGAAATTGGAAAAAATATATTTGTATGTCAATTTTTTTGTTTATTTATTTTTTTATCATTACTCACCTTTAATTATTAAATGTAATAAATGGGAGAATTTTCAGCAAATTTTATGGATGAAGTCTCCTGTGCATCATCCAATCTTAGAAAATACATGTATGTCATAAATGTATGTTTGTGCAGTCTATACTGACACAAAATTGAGGGTTGTCCATTACATTCACATTGGGTTGAATCATTTATGTATCCACCCACCAGAAGTTATATTAAAGCTAACATGGCCACCAGGTGGACAATCAGACAGGGTTTGATGCTACTCTGGTTTAAAGATTTAATGAATGTAACCAAAGAAGTTATAATTCATAGACCCAACATTTCAACACTCCTGTCTAGTGCCTTCATCAGGGGTGATCCAAATGCTGCAACAAGAGGTCCTTTTATACCATCACTAATTAGCTGCCTTTTTTTCTGATGAGGTGTAAATAGGCGTCAGGTCGTAAACCTACCCACACAGAGAAATAATTCGCTTTCGATTCTCACCACCCTATTTGCCATAAAAAGTCTGTAGCCAAAACTTTATTCAGGAGGGCTGACTGTCTACCATCTTCACTCAATTCGAAGGCTGAGGAGAGGAAATATGTTTCAAATGTCCAAAAGGCAAATGGCCATACAAAGACTCCTCTCCGTAACTACCAAAACCAGTTACAACTAGTAGCACTCCTGATGAAAGGGAACCAGCAACTGGTTTTGCTGTTATTCCTTACATTCAAGGTGTTATGGAACCCATTAAGAGAATTTTGAATAGCCACAACATTAAAGTTGCTCAAAAACCTTCACAGACTTCAGGGTATATTTTTGCTAAACCTAAGGATCCTGTCACAAAAGAACAACAAACTGATGCCATTTATTCTATTTCTTGCAATGACTGTGACAACGAATACACTGGAAGACCAAACATCAGCTTGGTACACATTTGAAAGAACATCAAAAAGCAGCTTTCTTTTGCAAAAAAGAAATTCAGCTTTATTGGAGCACACATACCTAAATAACCATACAATTGGGGGGATAATTCTAAAATTATCACCACTAATCGGCGTTACCACCAGCGCCTTTGTTTGGAAGCCTGGCATATTAACTCCACCCGCGCTCCTTTAATGATGATGGCAGCTTACTTCCTGACACCTATTTTGCACCTTGTCAGAAAAAAAGGTAGCTAATTAGGGATGGTATAACAGGACCTTTTGTTGCAGTGTTTAGATCACCCCTGATGAAGGCACTAGATAGGAGTGTCAAAATGTTGGGTCTATTAATTGTAACTTCTGCAGTTACATTCATTAAATCTTTAAACCAGAGTAGCATCAAACCATGTCCCACCAGTAGTTAATTGGCAGTTAAGTCATCTTGTGATACTGAAAATCTGAATGAACCATCTCATGTAAAGTGGAAATGTCCTACTAAAAGTCGAATTTCATGACACTTAATAAATAATCCTCAACCTGTTCCAAGGCAAGGTTGAAAATGTTGTTCAATCAACTCAATTCAACTCAAATGGAATGACTTGACTCCTGAGTTAGATTGGGTGTGTTTGACATCAGAAACAAAACAAACTAAAGATAACTGCTAGTCGTACCTTAAATGAAAAAAAAAAACAAGCAAAAAGAAACAACAGTAACACTCTCCACAAGAACTACATGAAAATACATCAAGTCATCAAAATCATTTTGAGAGCAATTTGTCCTTAATTTTTCAAAGACAGCAGACTGTACTGGCCCAAAGGCTCATGCATTTTTTCAGTCTTTACACATACATGTACAATTATTTGTATTTAAGGATACAGGCTTTTTTTCGGTTTTCTCTAAAATTTTGGCTCACAGAAAAAAAAATATACAAAAGAGCTACACAGTATTCTCCTTTGATTTTATATCTTCAGGATAATCAGGAACAAACAGATACCACACCACTCACACAACTTGAAAAAAGCACAAAGAATGACCAACAGACAAAGGGAAAAAAGAAGAGGAAAAAGAAAAACAAGGCCCAAAGTAAAGCCCAGTCGGAAGAGCAAAACAGAGTAGAAATGGTCACTGACAATAGACTGGAGGAAGATCCTCCAGGTAAGAATTACTTTCTGGAATTATGGATGGGAAATGCACTAGACAAAGTAAAATTTTTTACTCCTATCATTGCACATGAAATGTTCTATAAACAAGAGAATCAGGCACATTTTGTGTAGATAATATTGTGTTGGCAAAGATATAATTTTCTATAAATTATGTAATTTTACCAATAAGTTGGTTATCATTATGATTGCTATTATTTATTAATAAAGTATTCATTGATTTAGATTATGTAACCTTCATAGACATATTTCATTTTCAGCCAGGTACAAATAACTCATTGCATATATTGTGGTTCAATTTTATCCTTGGTTCAAATTTTAATTCCTTTGTTTCAAACTCATTATCATACATTACAATACCCAAAAAAAAAAAAACAAAACAAAATAAAATTTGAACCAAGGATAAAATTGAACCACAACACACGCAACTGTAATAATATTAAATAATGATATTTCCCACCAACACTACAGTATGAGGTTGAGATGCAGTCATATTTTATAGCTAAATCGTTCATTTTGAATGAACTAAACTTTAGAGCCCATGGCAGATGTGAGTGCTTGGGAAGTCCTTGGTGTTCCCAAAGAAGTTCAGAGAGGACTCAGTGAACAAAGTTTTACAACACCAACCCCTATACAGACTCTCTCCCTTCCGCCTGCAATATTCCACCACAGGGACATCATTGGTGCAGCAGAAACAGTGAGTTGAATCAGAGCAGTTGGATTGGTGGAGGTCTCTTTTACTATGTGCATTGTTTGTTTACTTTGTTCCACAACTTTTTTGAATAATTATTTTTATTCTTTTGAGAGGGAGAGAGAGAGTGGAAAAAATACTTTTTCAATATGTACATGTATTTACTATGATGTACAACTTGCTCATTTACATGCAAGAAGACTTTCCCACACATTATGGCAAACAGTTTCTGTTACTTTAGAGCTGGTCTTTGACCTGAATCAATGTCTAAGTACTAAGAGAGTATTGAATAATAACAAATATGACTTGTTAAAGCACTCTTGAGGAGGGCCGTTGAGCTGAAAGTATGTGTATGGTGTACCTCTTGAAAGAACTCAGACTGACAGACTGACAGATTGAAAGTTAAATTTTAATCTCTTAAGAAAATAATTTGATAGTTCTTCCCTCCTCTATAGTTGGTTGGCAGATTTATTCTTTATGCAAAAATGTGCATTACAATGACATTGCTGTAAGTTTCTTAGTTCTCATATCATACATTGGATAATGCTCTGAAATTGTCTGTTGAAGTTATGATAAAATCACTTGAGAGAAGTTTTGATTTCATGAATGGCTGGTTTTTAAGGAGGAAAATAAGTGTATTAATTTTAAAATATGTTTTTACAAGGGTTCAGGTAAAACACTAGCCTTTGGGATTCCAATTCTCACCCACATCCTTGGCCAGAAGACCAGTCAAGAAGAAGGAAAAACTACAGAAAATGCTACCAAAAATAATGCTACAGAAGCCACAGAAACTGGTACTGGAACGTCCAAGCTCAAGAAACCACTTCTGGCATTGATAATGACACCAACCAGAGAATTGGCTATACAAATAAAAAATCATCTCAAACAGGCTGCAAAACATACATCTTTAGAGGTAAACTTTATGTACTTAAATTGACAATTTGAAAGTTACCTCCACAGTTAGATTCTGTTTTCCATTGTTAGAAACTCAATTATCACTAACTTTATTTTTATTGGCATAAGTCAATTTTGTCTCGATAGCCTTTATTTAATACTATTTTTCTCAGTAGAGCAGAAAGCAAACCTATCTCTTGTTTGGAAAGTGTTTTTTATATTTTCTTTTGGAAACATAAATTTGTAGCCTCAATAAGCTTAAGCAACTTAAATTGACAATGAGTCAGCGCTGACATAAACATAAACTGTACAGGGCGTGTAGTTTTTTTTTCCTGGTGGCCACTTGGCTCTTAAATTTTTCAAAGTGGTAGCCAGTTCGAAAAAAGTTGGTCGCCATTTTTAAAGACAAACAAAACCTATTTTCTCCGCTGTCAGCGTTCTAGATAGACCCTCCAAAATTATGTTAGGAAAAAGATATTTTACGTGCCACAAAGTGGACACTGGGATGGATGATATACAACGTTCAAGCTCACCTGTTTTGGAAACAAACTTAACGAGGAAGTTTGCCGCGGATTTATCTTTACAAATCTTTTTAACTCATTCGCCAATTTGGCGACTAATTTTCAGGATTTGGTCACCAAAGAGAAAAATTTAATCGTATTGGCGCCTGTATTAGGCGCAATTTCACGCCTTGCTGTATTGTTTTGTGCTATCATATTCTGGGCTGAAATATTTATGTTATCTTCGCCCCTTCATCAGCAAAGTATATAAAAACCCTTTTGTTCAGAGAATTACAATCCTACCCCTGATGATGTACCATTTACCCCCTACCCTCCCCTCTCTTGCCACCCCTTCTAGTCCTGTTTCAACGTGTATCTTTTATCAGAGAAATACCCAGCAAGCAGAGTCCCTCAAAATTATTTGAATCAATAAACAATTGAAACTGAAATTTATTTTCCAAGATTGTTGCTGTGGTTGGAGGAATGGCACCTCAAAAACAACAGAGACTTTTAAACAAGTGTCCTGAGATAATAGTAGCCACCCCGGGAAGACTGTGGGATTTGATTTCCGATGTAAGTACCTCATGTATCATAAGTTGTACTGATTCACTTTCTTTTAGAGATCTGAAACAGCGGACACACACTTGTACATGTAGGTATGTTTCTCTTGAGATCGGTTGACCTGTCTAGTTTTCAGCATAAAGTTGGATTTCCAATGTCGCGTAAGTTTTTCCGTTCGTAAAACGCCGTAAAAATAATAAGCACAGCTGTAAGCATTTTCCACTGCTATGTAAACATCATTACCTGGCGTGTTTTTTTTTCTTTCTTTTTTTTTTAATAACCAACAGTCAAATTGGATGATTCTAGAGATATCTGCTCGCGGCGTTTAATTTCAGGGGGAAGAGCATGTCTGCCGTTTGGAGCACTTGAGATATCTTGTAATTGACGAGGCAGACAGAATGGTGGAGCAAGGCCACTTTCAAGAATTGTCTTCAATATTGGAGCTCATTCATAGAAAGAGGTACATACCACATCTACATTTATATTAGCAATGGACTTCAATTTCCATTGAAGCTTTAATTTTTCCAGGCTTCTCCTTCTGAAATGGTTTTCTTGACAGCCAACCTGTAAGCTGAGGTAAATGACTCTCTTTTTATAAAATTTTAACTTGAGTGTTTCTTTTTCGCAGTGATAATGATGAAGATGAGCGAACTGCAAAGCGAAGACATCTACAGAAGTTTATTTTCTCTGCAACTTTAACTCTTCCAAAGTCGTTTAAGAGGAAAGGAAAAGAAAAGAAAATCACAAGCGAAGAAGGCTTAGGTAAATCACGGCATATTTGACTCAGAGTAATAGAAGCTAGAGATAGTATCAACGTATTTTATCAGCTATTACTTAAGGAATGAAATGATTTAAATTATCCATCATTTAAAACCCAAAAATTTGCGGCTTTATCAAGTGTGTCGAAGTTTTTATTGTGTTGTTTTTGCTTTTGTCTTTGTTATCTAACATCTTAGTTAAACATGATTAAGTTGATCGGCTTGTGTTCTTCCGTTAACAGCAATACTCTTTGCATTTTACATTTTTAGTGTCGCTGATGGACAAAGTTGGGCTGCAGAAGAACATTTGTAAAATTATCGATGTCACTAACAAGAGAGGAACCGTAGAAACCCTGACGGAAGCAAAGATCTCATGTGCAATTGAAGAGAAGGTTTGTAATAGTTGAGCTGACAAGGAAGCGAAACACTTCAAGATCCAGGATACACTTTTTATTACTTTTTATTCTAACCCTTTGAGCCAAATGCATCTACATGTACACCGCACTGTCTAGGAACATGATCCACGGAGCCACAGAGGTGTACCAAGTGAAATCGAAGGAGAACTACGAAACATACAGTTGTTGTAAAAATCACCTCATTAAGATTTATTTTGAATTTTCTTTCTAGGACCTATATCTCTACTATTTCCTTTCCCGGTACCCAGGCCGTACTTTGGTTTTCTCCAACACCGTGGACTGTGTGAGGAGACTGGGCTCTTTGTTTAGGCTACTGGACTTTGACCCGTGGGTTCTTCACGCCAGCATGCAACAAAGGCAAAGATTAAAGAATTTAGACAGGTCGGGTGAAAACTGATTGAAATGGAAAATACAAAAAACAATGAAACAAACGAAACAAACAAAAAGAAGAATAAAAACCAAGAACAAAAAAAAACCACGAAACAAAGGAAAAAAAAACAGCAAAACAGATCAAAGCAACAATTAGGAACCTAATTTTGTAGATAACGTGCTTTTTCCTGTTGCGTCTTTCACGTTCTTTATTCTGCAACTTGCTTTGCGCAAAACACGAGGCGACACGCGTGTTATGTGGCCTTGGATCAGAATCATCATGATCTTATTACTATTTTTTTTTTCATCAAAACAGTGAGTTTAGTTTACGACCTGACTGACCTATTAAACCAATCCTGATTGACAATGGAATTTCCTTTATATATAGACTATAACTGGATCGCCTTGACTGATTAAAACCCGCCCCTCTCCCCGCTCAGAGAATATTTAAAGCTGGATAGGACTTATTTTACACCAGCATGAAATTTTGGCTGATTTTTTTTCTTGCCTGTCAGATTTAAGCAAAGTGCGAGTGGCTTACTTCTGGCTACAGATGTTGCAGCGAGAGGTTTGGACATACCAGCTGTTGAGCATGTAATTCACTATCAAGTCCCGAAGGACCCTGATGTAAGTACGTGCAAGTATGTGTGTACAGTTGGTTAGCTTGTGTCGGTGGTTGGCCTGTGCCGTAGGCGGGAACGGAAGCGATTGCTTTTTGGCGGCAGTGCTTTCATTCTCTGCGAAACTCTACCTTGACAAAAGGCTTTGGGAGGCACGCTGCTTCAACCGACCATGCGTTGACCAAGGTGTGGGCTACAAGTCTCAACTGTTAGAGAAGCTCAACCAGAATGTGGATAGCAAAGTTCGAACGCAGTTGACACCAGAATTCTTTCTCTAAATTTATGTTATTGTATCTCTTGACTTCTTTTTAAAACTTCATTTTCTAAATCTTTGTTTTGTTTCCGATTTGTGTATATGTGTGAGGTTCACCTACCGAAACCAAAACAATTCATTTCAGTTAATGATTTTTGATTTAGAAAAAAAATTGACTCTGTTCTCCAAATGCAATTTATATGGAAGGATCAGTTTGTTATCGTTTATCGTCCTCAGTTGTATCTCGTTTAATAATGAACTGTTGTGTAATGATGTAACCACAATGTAACTATATAAACTTTAGCGCAACCACCTCATGTGATCCTCCGTTCCTAAATTATTTCTCTGTGTTCGTTAACAGCTTTACATTCACCGCAGTGGACGGACAGCTAGAGCAAGCAGGGAAGGTCTGAGTGTCGTTCTTGTTGGCCCAGAAGAAATGGGATCATACAAGAAAATTATGAAGGCACTTAATGGAGGTGATGTGTCTTTATTATCTCCAACGTATCTCTTTAACAGTTAAACTCTAAAAGTTTATTTGGAAATCTCTCTCAGTTTAAGGTGCCATTCGTCTAAATTTCCTTTTTAGTTAGATAAATCTTTACGCCTCAACGTTAGTATGCATATTTTCCATGCATACTGTTCTTTATATATTTCTTAAGGTGTTGACATGGAGATTTCGTCTAACAATCAAGAGCTTCTTTAGTTGGTGATCATTTCCTCTACTCTCGTGGCTTTAAAGAGAACCTGCAGTTTTAAAACAAATACTGGTAAAAGGGCTAAAAATATATCAACTCAAGATATCTGGTCCTTAAAACCATACCTGTAACCCTGTTAATTTTTTTTTCCGCTTTCAAAACTGGCCTTCACGGCAAGTTCGAACTACCCGCGTTCGCCATCTTGTTAGGTACGCAATGCATTTTGGGTTGATGACGTGTAATGGTTGCTCCGTTCTTTTGTAGTTGGGTTATTGGGGTTTTCCTTAGCAAAATGGTTAATAGCGGAGCATTCGAGTGCATAAGTCGGGTAAAACCATGCAGGATACCAAGCTTCGCTTTGTTAGCTCGCCATAATACATTAGTTATTGACGTTCATGGATTCATGCCATTGGAAGGACATTTCTTCCAAAAGATTTGCGTGTGCGTTCGGAGCATTTCGAGAACCTTTGCCTCCATAGATCATACTTAATGCGAGTACGGATAGCTTTGTTAACAGGAGAATGATTGGATACCCATTTGATAACGAGGTTAGAGGATAATTTTAAGTACCCAATATCTTGTATTGATACATTTATAGTCTTTTAAGAAATATTTACTTGGGTGTGACAGTCGTTAGGAGAAGTTGGAGGCTGGTCACTCTTATGGATCACAGGGTTAAGGAAATTTGTCATGGCACGAAGATGATACCCCTCTAGTTGATAAATATTTCTTTTAGCCGCAACCAATATTTTATAAGGAAAAGGTACATCGAAATCGTCTTTAGGAGTTTACTGGGCCCGACTACAATTTAACCCTTTACACCCTTAAAAATCAGTTTGCATTTTCTCCACACCATTTTCCATGAATTTTCTTTCGAACTAATAAGGAGAATTTGTTTAACAATCAAGAGTTTCTTTAGATGGTCGTTCCCTGTATTCTCGTGACCTTTATGTTTGATTCAGGAGTGATGCTGTCAGAAGAAACTAGATGCCAGTCATTAATAGGCGTTTAAGGGTTAACTTACAGTCTCTCGTGTCGTTCGTTTGTTTGTTTCATTTTTTTTGTTCAGACTTGTTTTCTTGATTTTATTCTTTTTCAAATTTCGTGTTGCAGGAAACGAGCTAGACTCCTTTCCAGTTGATGTGTCTTTTATGTCCTCCATTAGGAAAAGAATTTCTCTCGCCAAGCAAATTGACAAAGAAGAACACAAGTAGGTGAAGATGAAAAAAAAAAAGAAAGAAAGAAAGGAAAAGAGAAATATGGCAATTATCTTTTGGTTAGCCCTTCGTTTTTTATTTTGTTTGTTTGTCTTTTCGCGTAAGAAAAAGGCCCAAATTGATAATCGAGCTTGACAGCGCAGCATTTTTCGCACAAAGAATTGTTCACGCAGTTACGGATGTTCTCTCCTTCATTCTCAATTCCTTCCAACCCTCCCCCCCCCCCTCCCCTCCCTTTCTCTTTGTCTAAACTCCCCCTTTAATGAAAGCCATCGAACCATATTCACAGATTTAGGCGCAAAAAGTCAAGTAATGACTGGATACTTGCCTCTGCCAAAGCCATGGACATTGAAGTTGACGAAGATTTGTATCTTTTTCGATGAGATAATTCATATATTTACATGCACATTCTTCGCTTCTGTGTGCTATCACATGGTCAGGGACTAACTAGACTACCAGCCTCAACATCAGTCTTAGGCGGTTTGGGCTTGAATGCATTTATTGTCAAAAACATTTCAACGGAACGGGCGGAACTGGTGTTCTGGAACTTTACTGTCTTGAAGGTTTGATGTCACATTTTATACACTGTCCTGTTCAGTTTATTTTCCTTAAAAAAGTTTTTTACAGACTGGAAGATCTCGGAGATCAGGGAGAAAGGAAAGAGCGACAAGTAAAGCTGAAGCAATTGAAAGGTAATCAACCTTTAGTTAAGGCAGACAATGGTTGTACTGACAGTCCCACCAAAAATAATGGATCTTGCAGGCTGATAATATCTTAGTGAAATCAAAATGGGTTACATTTAGCTTGTAGTAGTAGGGTGGGGTGAGGATTATTGTTCCCATGGTTCTTACCTTTGAGTTCTATGTGAAAGGAAAGCATGAAAATGTAATAAAGAGTCTTGATGTCCAGCCTTGTGTGGGTAAGTGTTAGCTTAGCCTGAGTCGAGTGCTCCTTTCATTTATTGGTAAATTTTTTTTATAGAATCTATATCAGTGCCGTTTTATTTTACAGCGGAACTTACTGGTTTGCTGAAGACACCTCTGATTCCTGCTGGTTTTAGTGGAAAGTACCCGACTAAAACTGGATCCCTTATAATGCCAGGGATCAAAGGTATTAAGTGAATAGAGAAACAAGAGTATTTTGAGGGACAAAATGATGTGTTGCTAAACACATCGTTTTGTGATCTTTAGTGAGAGTATTATTAGTGATTTAACAGAGCTAGTGTCAACTGAGGCTCCTTTTGTTTTGTTTTGTTTGTTTGTTTGTTTGTTTGTTTGTTTGTCTTTTATATTCTCTTTTCCTGCTGCCATCCGCTGGTTTTCTGGTCCGTATGTTTTTTTTTAATGAGATAACTGCTTTTTTCTTTTCCTAGTCATGTGCCAATTGTTTAAATGTTCGTTTTATTTCGGTATTCACAGCCGACGCGAATTTGGAAGATAATGAAAAAGTGGCTGTTGAAGATGTAAGAAGAAAGAAAAGAAACAAGAAAAGCAAAACGTAACTTGCATTCTTCAAACGAGGTCGACAACTGATCGTGAAAGAAGAAGGGAGATTAAAAACACGAAATGGAGAAAGATTCTTACTTGTAACAACTGGACTGGAAGAGAAAGAGTTGATTTGAGCAAGGTTGACTAGTCAGTGGTAGAATAAACTAAAATCTCGTCTTAAAGTCTTTGACCCCGATGCTATATGAATACAATGTAACTTGAAGCAATGGCGTTCATACATCTTCGGGACACCACCCTTCAGACTCGCGGTATAATACGACTGGACAAAGCAACTAGTCACAGTCTGACAACACATGTCCACTTTGCGCATTTTCTTGATTTGTGATTTGAATTGATTTACAGATGTTTTGTTCTTTACTCAGTGGCCCGAATTTAAAAGTTAGGATTGTTTCAGTCACATATTGCCGTTGGTCATATGAAGGTTTCAAGAATGGGTCGGAAAGGAACTGAAAACGCTGTTTTAAAGGGAAATCATTTTTCACATGCTTGACAAATGTTGTCCACAAACCTTTCGCTAGTTCATATATATAAAAAAATTTAAAAAAAATATGTAGATGCGTAGTAAGCAGGAGATTCAGTAAAAGCCGGTCTACCGCCGTTTGTTGAGCAGGGTCTCGTGTTTAGGTTTCACCTTACGCCTTTTCTGGCACATTCGCTTATTACATCATCGGCAGCTACTTAAATGTATTGAGACCCCAGAATGTGGGAGAAATCGTTGGAAGGCTGTACGAAGATTTTAATATTAAGAGGGCCAAACTACACGTAGGTGTGCTTGGCGTTACTTGAGGAGACGTGAAGAATAACCCTTTTCCAATAAATAAGTCATTTGCTGAGAAATCACTCTAAGACTCGTTCACACTAAACTTCCCTTGAATCTTTGCCGTTTAGTTTATGTGTGAATGTTGTTTTGGTATCAATGCTATGAGAATATGTTACTATGTAAGTGTACCACTCCACACCCGGGTGAAATTTGCGATTTGACGTGAATACGCGCAGGGCTTAGTCGTATGTGAAATCTGATGACCCGATTCTACCTTGTCTTTCTCGGTCCTGATGACCGACCGATCAACATCCCAAACTGTAACCCTAGACTGGTGTGGTTAGGTGGCTTGATTTGTGATCTTAATTCCATTAGGACAAACTAATCCACAAAGCACCAGTTTTAACTTATGGCTCGGTCTACACTGTACGCTTTTATGAGCCGTGACGCTGTGCAGCATTGCCTTCCTTCTTTACGAGTTATTTCATTTCGAACGCAATTTGCATTGTCATGGTAAAGTGAATCTTTGTTTTCTTTTGTTTTGTTTCTTTTGAAGGCTCTACTTCCTCCACTCTGTCGAGTGCGGGCCAGATCTCAATTCCCAGACAGATGCCGGGTATCGCTAAGGTTTTTTATGACATGTTTGACAAACGGCATCCGAAATGAAAAGAAAAGTGCGAAAATGAGAGGCAACTAGACACTTGCACATCAAGGCGGTAAAAATCCACATTTTCTATGATAATGATTATATTTTATATTATTATATGTATTACACCATTATGCGAGCCAAATGCTGCATGGAGACAAAACCTTTGATTTAGTGGATCACGTTCTGCAGAGTCGTAATCCATCGATCTGAATTCAATTAATTTGGCCTGCTGGTCACTGGACTTGTAATGAGCTTGCAAATGTTAGAACTTGAATATAATAAAACCTATGAAGAGTTAACAATAATCCTCACACAGAACTTGTACACTGGTAATGTTCTCTTACTTGGAAAATCGGGTCTCTGATAGGCAGTCTAGTTACACTTCTTACGCTCTCATTATTCTTGCTAGCAAATGAGATTCTCGATAATGGATAAGTTATCATTCTCTTAAATGCGGCACGGAATTTCTTCTTAAGGTATATCAGGAGCCACGGGTTAACAACGCTGTTTGCATGTCCACACCAATAGCATAACAGCATAAAATAATATGGCAGCGATTCCCGCACACTGAAGTCAATGGCCAAAATCATATGATACGCATGCGCTGGAAGCCAGCAAAGTGCAAAGGCAACAACGACAGCGATCGACATATGAATAACTTGACGCTTGGTAGCATGGGCCCGAGTTCTTGCGTGATTGTTGATGGCAATGCCCGGCAGTTTGTGCTTGTGCAGTGTGTGACAGACGTGTCCATAGAGAATGCACATGGTAACTAGGGGCAACAAGTAGATGGTGACTACGATATAAAGAAAGATACCTCTCAAAGCTGCTTGAGTCTCACCAAACTGAGTAAACTTAAATTCTATCCTGGAGTTCTTAACTTTGACTGTGATCAGCCATGGAGTCATCAGACACATTGAAGTGATCCAAATTGTGGGAACCAAGATCTTTTTGTTCCTAAAGCGAGGGAACTTTTGCATGGGAAGGACAATCCCGAAGAAGAAGTCAAAAGCCACGGCTGTTAGAGAGAAGACGGACGCTGTGACCGCCACGAAGAAAACAAACATGATGAGCTTGGCAAGTAATTCACCAAATGTTCCATCGATCCACAGATTATCCAAAATGATTAGTTCCATCGACTGAGGCATGACAACAGCTGTTACGAGTAGGTCGGCCACAGCGAGGTTGACGTACATGAAGCTTGTTAATCTTCTTGTTTCTGGCCTCTTGTACAGAATATAGATCACCAAAATGTTTCCAACTAAGGCCATTGAAATGATTGCAGCGTATAAGATGGCGAAGGTGAGTTTAATACTTGATGGATACGAGAATGGAGGCTGCGCCGTGGAGCCTGAAAGAGAATGAAGTACCATGGTTAAAGCAAAAACAAAGGAAATAGGTCTGCAACGCGCGCGTCCACCGAAAGGCGACACAGATGGTGACAATATGCAGTAATAATTATTGGAAAAACATCCATTAAACCCAAGCTTTCTCCATCATTGAAGAGTGAATCAATCATGTCACAAGAGGATATGCAATTGATAGAAGCAAAATGTCAAAGCTGTTTGTGCTTTGCGTTTTTCACAAGTACTGCAGCAGCAACAATAGTAGCGTTAGCTATTTTTAGGACACTTTCAGGCGCTATTTGTGAAGGTGGTTTTCCTACCGTTATCAGCCTGCGAGGACGTCAACATTTTTGGATCTGCAGCTTCCTAGTCTCTGCTGTTTGAAGAAGTCAGCATAAAATATCTGAATACTTGGTTGACGGGATAAGCTCAGCTCTAAAAAAGCTGAGTCTTTATTTCACTCAACGTTGCGTTCTTTGAATATTGGGTCTGCCAGGAAAAAAAGTGAATTTCAGGTTATCATTGTCAAAATTACAAAAATCTAGATGCTTACCACAAACGGCGCAGTTCAGCTAGCCTGCTTAACAGCCTCTTTCAGTTGATTTTTGTTTGTTTTTTGTATTTGTTTTTGTCTTGTTTTGTTTTTGTTGTTTTTATTGGTCAAAAATGTGCTGCACATCTTTTCAGAACTAAAATTGTGTCCATCAGTTATTTCGATAATGAGGGAAAAACCTGAGATCCGAGATAAACATACCAGCAATCGTGTGATACTGAAAGAAAAGTGGGTAAGTTTCGATTTCAAGACGTCAAGTCGAGGAATTTTTTGCTCGTCATTTGCAATACGTGTCAAACTTCGTCTTTTTTAATTATCGTAAACCAATTTTTGGATACTCTTATCATATTTTAAAGATATTCTCTCCCTAAAAATAAATGATAGATAAAACAATCAAAAAAGTAAGAAAACGGCTTTTTAAAAAGACAAACCCACCCCCAGGAGAGCTTCCATCTTTGTTTACGATTTTTAGCATAATAGAAAAGAATCGACACATGGCGTTATGCTCTGGTAAGGATAAATAATGAGGCATGTTTTGCTTGAAGTTACCATGAATTGGCTAAGGCCAACTAAAAAAAATTCCAGGTTCCTGTGTTTGTTTTGTCAAGGAACAACGCTTTGTGTGAAAGATTGCAAGATGCACCTGTACATTGTCCGTCTTGTTTGTTTAACCTTGATCCTGACAACTCTTTAGACCTCGTTTCCCTTTCAAAAAGGTCTGGAATCAATATTACTAAGTGACGAGTAATAGTCTTCGAAAGCGTTTGCAAGACGTTTATACTCGCCTTTTCCCCATTCCAAATTATCGAATGATGGAAGCGCCAATTTTGTGTCAACCTTTTTTTTTTCGTCATCTAAGTTATTTTTAAAGATGATTTCGGTGGATTTATCGCAAAACGATAGAAAAAGATGATGAAAAACACCTGGACAGTAAAAGTCATAAAAAATAAATCAAATTATCAAATAAAACAAAAGTGCTTTATCTTTCCTTGTGCTATTGAGAACCCGGTTTGACGTTGTGATATTCGTTCCTACAAGGGAGAACTAAGATTGAATAAAGAAAAAATGGGAAAGTGGTTTTCTACCTTCAAAGATATCTTGATTCAATTATAATCCCGTGGATGCAAGAGTTCGCATTCCAAGTTTACATCTCGAGGGTCCTTTCGGCTGCTAACATGGCTTAAGCATGATCACTTAATTACAACGACGTTTGCCCGTAGAGGCTTTATTTTAGCCGTGTAGAGCAGTGTCCATCGAGGCAAATCATGGTTCGTTCCGTCGTCTCTTTGTTACGAGTATTTGTTTTTCATCTCATTAGGAGGCCAATTTACTTTTATTTATGGCGGGAAATTAAGTTCCTCATGAAGCGTGTTAACAAACTCGAGACAGTTAATATTCGAAGTTAGAGTAAAAGACAATTTTTAGGAGAAGAGAAAGTTGATGTACCGCAATGTACACTGGGATTCAGAAAAGAGCGAGACCATGTCCTTTGTTGTTGTTATGCAAAAATAGGGACCTGGTTGGGAGTGTGTAACACATACTTAGTGCTATTTCACTTGAGTTTTGAGCCCTGGTCACGTCAAATTTTGTTGTTACTGTTTTTTTTTTCCTTTTATCGTTTTTTCCCATTCAATTTACATTCTTCTTCAAAGGATATTTTAGATGTGCTCAAAGTAAAACGGATACGTAGCGACGTAGCTCTTACATTCAAATCGATAGCAGGTCGAAATACAGAGGTGATACCCAGAACAAACAGTCTGCCATTTTGAAAACCGTGGGGGGCTTGGGGAAAGGTTTATAGACTTACCGACACCACAATGTGATGAGTACAGCCTTGCTGGAAGGAATGCACAATAGGCACAAAAACACAAGTGAAGCAAATAATTTTCATGAAAGTTATGTATATTTTATGTACACTAGGTATATGTTTGAGTTTCATACCTGTAAGTTCCAGAACGCATTTTGGGATTCGACCAAGTAAAATTTGTAGGTTGGGTTTGCTTCTATAAATATTAGGGACCTTACGATCCGACAACGGCGACGGCGACGTGGGATTTTTTTTTTGACGTTGTGCGAAAACGTGGAATTAAAACCCAACCATGGCAAAGGAATCAAGGTAAAAACGAGACTTTGCGACTCAATTTAAAGAATACTAGTTTGTTTGAAATATCCGAAACGAACAGAGCGTGGAGTCTTTTGTATACGACCACAAACTGAATGGAGAGAGATTTGACTTATTTTGCTTTGTATTTGTTTGTGATTGTACTTCACTCGCTATCACTGAGCTTTCTTATCACTTACTTTCCAACTTTTTTCTCGATCAAAAAAAGAGAACAATTAAGCTTAATTTTATTTTGGGTTTACTAGGAAATAGTAGAGAGATTTTGTTGGCAGCGGTACTAGATTCGACCGATGCAAAGTGTATAAATACTTTCATTGAGCTAATTTTCATTTATAATCGTAGATTAACCTTATTTTACAAGGAACTCACTGGCTGGGTTGAACAGTTATATCGACGAATTCCGATACCGCAAATATTGTTATATTTATGACTGAATCAAAAACAAATACAAAACAGAGACGTTCACATAATTTCCACTGTTTCCTAATTAATAAGAATTAGTTTACAAAATCCAAACTTTATTGATTGCCCAATATTTTGCTCCAAATGCCACACATTTTTTAGTAATTCATGACTGTTTTCATTTGAAAGCGTCCTTCTAACCTTAATTGTATGTTTCCCTCATTCGGAAGGCAAAGGATAGCCATCATGTATTCTCATGATCATTTCTTTATCTGTCAACAAGTTCAGCTAATTTATTGGAGGACTAAAGAAAACAAAGATATTGTCTAATATTATGATGATCTAGTTAATACCACCCAAAGCAAATTATGTTATTTGTTTTAAAAATTTTGATCATGGTTAGGACCAAGTGCTAGTAAATCTCAGATACAATGATAATTTTATTGTTAGCAAATTTTGCTGATATACTGATAGTTCTTCCTCATGAAGTAATTTTTGTTGCACTGCACTTTCAGTCAATCAATGAAATGGACTGAAGAACACGAATTGCTTATGTTGAGGGAATTGATGCTTTTGCAGCCATGGCTGCACAAGAAAGGAACTAGTGAGAGAGGAGATGATTGGGAGAAGCTGGCAGTATCCTTAAATGCTATTCCTTATCCCCAATTCCGTGTTACTCAACGGTCTGTTCGTGACCACTATTCAACAATGGAAAAGAGAAGAAGAAAAAAAGTCAGGGAAGAAGACAGAGCCTCGGGTATTGCCCCTGAAGAGGACAAGGAACTAGATCAACTGTTAGATGAAACCATTGAACTCTTTGATGAGTCTGACAAAATCACAGATCAAACAAAACAAAAGCAGGAAGAAGAAGCAAAGAAAGCAGAGGAAATGCGGAAGAGATCATTGGAAACTTTTAAAGACAGCGCCTAAAGGAATGCCGATGAACAGTAAGGAGCAAGACCGAAAAAGGGTAGAGCTAGTGGTCCAAGCACTCTGGCTTACCTGAAGGATAGGGCAGAAGTAGAAGCTACTTTAAAACGTGATGAATTGGAGATAAAAAGGCTAGAGTTAGCACTGCAAGCAAAGGAGCAGGAAGGAAGACAACAGCAATTTGATATGATGAACAAGCAAACTAGAGATATTCAGCAGCCTCAGCAGCAGCTTCAGCAGCAGCTTCAGCAGCAGTTTATGCAAATGAATGCAAACATGATGCAACAGCACCAACAACAAACCCTTGCACTTATAGAACTAATGAAAAAGTTTGCTGGGAAGTGATGCTGGTCAATCTCTGCAAGAGGTCATTTAAATGCACAAAGAGTTCACATTTTTATTAACTTGAACATTTTCAAGGAGGTTAAAAATTAAAGATTTATTATAATAACTTGTTTACATATATAGTTTTAAAGGAAATGTTGCTTAATTTTGCCAACCTTTGAAAGTCGCCGAATTGATGTTATGCCAGTATCAAAACTGGGGCTGAGCCTTTATCAAGGCAATAGGGCTTATCCAACTATAGAATTGCATTACTCTCTGTAAACTTGCTCACCATTATTTGTTCTCATTTAATAGTTTGTTTTGGTGGCATTTATTTCACTTTAATTCCAATATGTTAGCCTTTCTCGATTGCATAATTTTTTTTTTTTATTAAAAAGCAGTTCAATTTTCGAAAGGAAAAGTGTTATGTAACTTTTGTAAAACCTGTTTAGCAGACTTAGTGAAAATAATCCCCAATTTCTGGGGGAGAAACATCAAAGTAGTCTGATGTGGTGGATCCGTAACAACAAACACGAGCATGGTGAAGAAGGGCACATGTCACATACATTTTGCCAACAGCACTTAAACTTATTTTCAAGTTTTTTTTTAAGTCCAGAAATTTAAAATAATGTATTATCTCACCAAAAATCCATTCAACAGAAACTCTGACTTCACTCATAGATTCATTCCATGCAGACTGTATGGGAGTTAGTCCAGCCCCTCGAAAAGGTCCTTGCAGATGTAGTCGAAGAGGATATGCCGGATCTCCATAAATACATAGGGGGTTCCCATTTGTGTCCACTGAAATCGTTGCAATTCGTTTAACACTCCAGATCTAGCTAACAGCTCGAGTCTCTTTCCCTCGACAGGCCCAAACAGGTTGGCAACAAGGCCACTGGGTGCTGCGATAGATTGAAACTTTATAGCATGGACTTTTTTGTGACCATTGTATAAGCACTTTTGGTTTTGTCCTGGTCGGCATATGGGCCTCACAGTACCGTCAACAAACCCCCAACAGTTGTCAAGAGCAGCTCCCCTGTTGTGAACTGCAACGGCAAACTCCTCTAAATGATCGGGTCTTAACCAATCCTGGTTCAAATTAGTGAGAAGTCGGTTCCATTTTTGATACATCTTGTTCATAACAGCATTTAAGATCATACACAATTGTGGTTCTGGCCTTCCAAATCTGGGTATCATGTCTACGTATCTACAGGGATAAGCAAATCTTTTAAGAAAAGTGCACAATGTCTCAACCATGTCGACATTTACACCATTGTAGCAAACGATCCGATCCGGTAAAGTAAACACCTCTGCCAAGTTGTAAATGTCATTCTTGTAAAATCTAAACTCAGTTTTACATTCATCATCGGTCATCTTGTCGAGATCGAAACACTCGTAGTTAGTGTACGGTAAAACCGGATTTTTAGGCTTGTGTAAATCGTAGAGAAGCACGAATTCTTCAGCGTTAATCAAACGGGAAGCATGAGCCAGGAGAATAGTGTCACGGAACTTTGGCATGGCTTTCTAAAAAACTTTCATTGACTTAAACACGATAAACATCAATGACCGTCGTCAACGTTCTCGCTCGTAAAATTCGTAATCTCAATTTTGGCGGGAACGCCAACACGACGTGGCCCCTCGACCCAGACTTCTCACGTTGCCGTCGCCGTCGCCGTTGTCGGATCGTAAGGTCCCTATTAAAACGAATTTCCTTCTCTATTTTTCCCCTTTTTTCAGCTTTGTGCCTGTCCACCCTCCTCCCCTCTCCACCCCCCTCCCCTGTCCGCCCCCTCCCCTATCCACCCTCCTCCCTGTCCACCCTCCTCCCCTCCTCTCCTCCTCAGGTGATTACATTAGTCTCAACCTGTGATAACAGCTGATTTGCATTTTGGTCTCATCTACCCATTAAAATAAACATTTTTGCCTCTCCTTTTCTCTCATTTCCTCACCACGTTACTTAACTACTAGAGGATATTGTTAGCTTACGTACGGAAAGGTGGCATGTTAAGACTAAAAAGATAGTTCAAGGGCACTCGTGCTTGTAGGTCACTGAAATCAGAGTTTACACGGATGAAAAATTATTTTAGGAATTAAACCACTGTATTACAAAAATTGTGAAGAATGGCCGATTACAAGAATCGATCGAGTGACGATAATATCACTGTCATCCCTGACAAAAGACTGCTGCGCCTTTAGGAATTTTAAGTGATGACGCTAAAAGTATGACTCTGTCACAGAATGAGTTCCCATAGTTGATGCGAAAACGTTTCGGCGCATTTAACTCACTACGCGCCGCAACGGCGATGTCTGTCCGTTTTGGAGGAAACTGCAAATCCGATCAGGTGAAGGGTGTAAGCACTCCTGAGCACTTCAACACAGCTGTCAAATAATATCTAGTTGAAGACATTTTTTCTAACCTGTTGTTGGTTATATCCTCTGAAGTGCTTGATGTTTTCAAGAGTAGATCATACCCTTTGTGGATTGACCAAGGGTAGTTATGGCTGTAAAAAAAGAAAGCAGTTCTTGTGTGACATGAGATAAAAATTAAAAGTACCTTAGAGCACTCGCAGCTGTTCCTATTGCCTTCGTTGGCAAGTGAAAATCAGTCGTCACATAACATCTGGAACGATTTCGCAAGACCGACAGAAAAAAAAAGATAAAAAAAATAATCTCCTTAAGAGGAAATCCTGTATCGACTTACGGGATCAGGGCACAGTTAAGATGGAGCACTATGACATTGTGCTCTGCATCACAGCAAGTAAATTTCAACAAAACATGAGATCTGATTGGTTGAACTAAAATTAAAATAGACTATCGCGCCCCAGGATCTCTGGAAAACTGAACACAATGGGTGACAAACTACTTTGTAAACAATCATTGTTGTGAGACAGAATGTCGATCCTCGATGGTTCATCAGATCAGTGAGGCTTTAAATACTTGAACTCCGGGTGGTATGTATAGGCGGCCGTCACCGCTAAAAATATAGGCATAATAAATGGTTTGTAATAAACAGAAATGGTCTAATTGTCTTTTGGGGAACGGTTTATCTTATCTTAAGAGATTTATTTAAAATACAAATAGACAAGTCGCCTTGGGTGAAATGAAATATTTTACACAATTCAGAAACTGTGTAGCTACCCTTGTTGAAGTGATTCAATAAAAACACGAGTGGCCAAGTGTTAAATGAAATGGTTCATGACAAACGATTCAGCTAATTGTACTTTGGTTAAGTGACTTGACACAAACGGTTCAGAGTAGTGTGAAATGGCTGAAGTTATCGGCAAATGGTTTATCGAAGCCGCAATGGTTTAGTTCGCATCAATCTGGTCACCGTAAAGTGAAACAGTTTAGCGTAACGACAAATGGTCTTGTACAAACCGAAATGGTGTAGTGTTACAGCAGTTGGTTTACGCTGTAACCGCCAAGAATACAAAAGTGAACGATGTAGTAAAAATATATTATTGTGAAATATAAGCTTAAGCTTTCTTTCATTTTCACTAACTGATTATTAAGCTACTGAATGTTCAGCAGCTCGATAAAAACCGTTTCATCCGAAATATCATTTACTTACTGATATTGCGGCAAGATGACGAAGGTTTAAATTTATTAGCTAACAAACTAAAATAGGCAAACATAAAAAGTGATTGTTACCGGAATAAGGCTCGCTAAGTCTTGTAGACGAGGCGACAGAAAGAATTTCTTCCTTTGTTGAACGTCGAGTGGACGAGATCACTGTCGAATAGGTTAACAACCGTCATGACTCCTCTAATAAATTCATTTTCGATTTGTTAAAGAAAATATCCGGATTATACATAGGGAACGTCTCTGTCGCCATAGAATGCGCTCATCAGTTCACTACCCGAGTGATAGTTGGGTAACAAATGTAAAACATCGAAAAAAGTTAAGAGGCGTTCTCTCATTCGAAATTTCTAGTTAAGTTGGGCAGGTAGACAAGGCCCTTTCCGTTGCTTGCATGTGAAACCTGATCGTAAAGTGACCTGTCATTAAATATAGAATAAAACTCCTATATTTTGCACTAAGAACCCTCTTTCAAATTAATTCATGAAAAGAGTTATTGAAAATCGCAAAAAGCGTAAGGATGTGTCAATTATGGGGCCAAGACTTTGTTAATTTTGCGTTAAATCCCGACAACGACGGCGTTATTATTGAGAAGCTGAGACGGAGATCATTGCTCGCTGATACTCGCACTCTGTCATAACAGATCTCTTTAGACCATAAAGCCTGTCTCGCATGTCAACGACAGCTGTAAGGTCATCTGTCTTACAATCGTTTTCAAGCGCTTCAACGGCTTAATACCTCTCAGCAGAAATTCTTCTATTCATGAAATATTGAATAACATAAGTTATAATCAAGAGAAATCAAGTATATACAACCAAATAAAGAAAAAGAGAATGGCGATGATAAAAAATATACAGATTCAAAGCGTATGGATAATTGCAATGTCATCAAGTTATTTTTAGCTTTAGAACGGAGCTTGTATTAGTCTAATTAGATAATGCTGTCTTTGCTTTCATTAAAACATATGTTATAATAATTACGACCATCACTTTCACGCAAAATAACGCCGACTCCAAATAAGAAGTATAATGAATGACAGCAGCTAAATTGACTCGCATTAGAATGGGGTTCCACTAACGTCAAGAGCATGGGGACAAAACAAACCAAGAGAGTAATAAAGAAAGAAAGAAGAGAAGAGAGGACAGAGGAAAGGAAAATAGGGAGAGCCCTGAGAAGAACGAACCTTCCGATCACCAATTGGGTGTCCTACCAATGGCAATTAGTGACGCCAGGGCGTTTTTGGTGATCAAAGACACAGGTTATTGTGCAGTGAATGATAATAACGATGACAGTAATAATGGTAATAATAATAATAATAATAATAATAATCCTCTTTCAAATTCATGCTCTTCTTGAAAAATACGGTCATCCCATAATTCATCATAAGTCATCGATCCTGAAATTAATTTTTGTCGTTTGAAAAACGACAGACACGTAATTAATCATATTCCAGATGCTCATAATTACTTTAAAATGTGCCCTTTGAACAAAGTCATGTACGAGAACTCTAACTAAAACAGTTACTGTCTCTGAATTACTGACTGTCTGATTCCATGCTGTCCAGCTAATTCTATAACCTTTTCAAAAGTAATAGTAGATAAAACGCTGCAAACTAATGATACGTGAAAGAACAAGAGTGTAACCCCAGAAGAAGAGAACCTGGCTGGAAGTGCAAGAGTGTATCCCCCTAGAGGAAGAGAATGAAGGTCTGGCTAGAAGTGCAAGAGTGTACCCCGCAGAAAATAAGAATGAAAACCTAGCTGGAAGTACAATGGAAGTGCAAGATTGCACCCACCCGAAAGAAGAGAATGAATGTCTGGCTGGAAGTGCAAGAGCGTAACCCCCAGAAGAAGAGAATGAAGGGCTGGCTGGAAGTGCAAGAGGGTAGCTCTCAGAAGAAGAGAATGAAGAACTGGCTGGAAGTGCAAGAGTGTAACCCCCAGAAGAAGAGAATGAAGGCCTGGCTGGAAATGCAAGAGGGTAGCTCTCAGAAGAAGAGAGTGAAGACCTGGCTGGAAGTGCAAGAGTGCGACTCCAAGAAGAAGAGAATAAAGGCCTGGCTGGAAGCACAAGAATGTGCCCCCCAGGAGAAGAGGATGAAGACCTGGCTGGAATTGCAAGAGCGTACCCTCCTGGAAGGGGAGAATTGAGGTCTGGCTCGAAGTGTAAGAGTGTACCACGCAGAAGAAGAGAATGAAAACCTCGCTGGAAGTGCAAGAGTATAGCTCCCAGAAGAGAAGAATGAAGGCCTTGCTGGAAGTGCAAGAGTGTAGCCCTCTTTCTCTCTATTGTTACGTTAATATCTCACACACTTTTTGTATTCTCTTCCACTAGATTTTTTACCTTAATATTCCGCACACTTTTAGGATTCTCTTTTATTGAAATTGCGTTAGATTATCATGCACTCTTAAGATACTCCTTTATTAGAAAGGTGCATTAGTATTTTGTGCATTAGGCTTGGCTTACGTTCGATTATTACTTTGATATCTCGCGTACCTTTAAGATCCTCTTCCATTGGATTGTTACGTAAGTATCGCTTAAACTTTTAAGGTTTTCTTTCCTTCAATTGTTATGTTGATATCTCGCGCACTTCCAGAATTCTCTTGCATTGGATTTCTATTTTAAGACCCAGCACGCTTTTAGGATTCTTTTTCTTTGGAATTTTAAGCTAAATTCGCACGCACTTTTAGAGCGACTTTTTTAAATTCAAGTCCAGATTGAAATATCTGACTCGAGGTCGTGGGAAATTTCATAAAGCACTTGCTCAATTGGTTAATTAGATGTCTTCCATTATGCAAACCCCGGGGTAAAAAGCCTATACGTTGGGTCTGAGGTGGTAATTAATAAGCTGCGATTTAAAGTTGATAAAAAAGTAATATTGAATAGATAAATAATAATATAAATAATAATAATGATAATAATAATAATGATAATAATAATAATGATAATAATAATGGTAACAAACGAAATAATAAAAATTTGTGATTTTCTTCAGCCGGCATAGTATTATATCAGAGGAAAGATAAATTGCGGAGATATATGCCATGGTCAGTCAATCTGGAATGAAACACTTCGGCAATACAGTGGATCAGAACATTGAAAACAGAGGCATTTACAACTTATTCTTCAAGTGGGTCTTGAAATTATCAAATTAGTCAAGAAATATTGCTTATTCTTCGACTGCCAGTGTATTTCATAACTGCGAAACATCGAAAAATCCTTACTGACTCCTTTGTTATTATGATGACAAACTCAAGGTTTCCTTAGACAAACACCCACTTCTAAACAGACCAGTAAAGCATGCGTCAACGACACGACATCCTATAGTTTCGTCCTCAAGTGTGAAAAGCTGAAAATGTAGACATTTTATTTAGTGATATACATTAAAATGCTATTTTGTAGATGTGCCAATCGCTTCAGCCTGATGACGTCATCCAAAATCTTAATGAGGATACGGAATGTTTTTAATCGTAATTGACTTGGTAATCAACAGTCATAAGATAAGCCTCTAATTTTTTTATTGCAGATATTAAATAGTGTCTTACATTATGTTAGATAAAACTTGTTGTTTGAATAGTGTACAAAATTAAACGCTCATACGTGCTCTCATTTCGTCCAGTTTTTAAACAAGCATTCTATTTTGCCATAACAAAATTGTTTCCGTCTCCTATCCTTTAAATAGCGTTTTTTTTCTCTCGTACGAATCGAAAACACTTAAGAAAATTATTAATTTGAATTAACTCACACTCTATTAAGACTGTTCTCTCCGTTTATGACAAAAGCATTTGATACTAACAGAAAAACGGTAAATGTCAATAACAATGCAATCGCTTGTTTTCAAATAAAGGTAACTTGAAAGTTAAACAAATCACTAGAAGTGATGCAATATGTAATTTAAAGAAGATACTTAGTTAAGGAATACCCCAGTGCTAGTTAATACCACACGACTAATTCATTACCAAACTACAAAATTTTACCAAATTTCATATCGCCGTTAGGAGATCTCTTAGTAGGTCTGCTACAAACAAATGTACTAATTGTTTTCACAATACAACAATGAAAAGCTCGCCAAGTACAGCTATCGACATAAACGAGCCGTTTTTCAAGTAAGTTGTTTTTTGTTTCTTCCTTTCTTTCTCTTCTGATTTAATCGATGACGGAAGTTTAATTCATATCTATCCAGTTTCCCTTATTCTGAAACCGATTAAATTATTTATTATTGGCATTCTTTATGAATTAATTAATTGTTTTTTTTGCTTTAATTATTATTATTTTATCAATCAAGGACAAAGATTTCACATATTCTTCTACTATTTGTGTAGAGAGAAATTTAACTAACACAAACCTACACTTAGTTTAGTACCGAGAAGTGACGATTATGTACCCTAACGACGGTCACTGGGCCCATTTTCCCAATCTCTTCGCTGAGGCCTTCTTTGCAACTTTCTCACTTGGTCCTGCATCTTCATTTCCGAGATCTTCAACCCTAGAGTATTTTGCCTTGTCATAAGCGTTCATGTTAAGAAGTTCCTCATGTCTTAGGAAGAAGGCAACAAATGAGGGCTATACGTTAGCTGCAGAGTGCTAAAATATAGTAAGTGCGATCACCTCCCTAGCGTACTGAAAATCTCTGTAGTTAAAAGTCGCGGACATACTTAGCGCGTTTCTTGTTTTCTCTCTGAAGTTAGGGAAGTTGTGAGTAGGTGGTTAGAACTGAGCAGATCTATGTCCTGGGGACGATCACAACCGACATAAATACCAGATGGACCGAACAAGTTAAAATGCTCGTAAATTGCCTGACAGGCTGGAAAACGTCTCTTGCCAAAAGTATGAATGGTCCTAGCTTAAGCTTTTATAGAGAGAATGGAAATAAAATCAATGCTAGCAAGTATTGCTTCAACACATGGGGGCAAGGTAAGAAGTTTGAAAAGTTTTCGAGTCTCTAAAATGCACAAAATATTGGGAAGTTGTTAATTCTAGAAACCAACCTCTTCACGAATGTATTTGTCCATTCTTTGTGGCAGGTTTTCAAAAGGAGGACGGAAGTCAGGGTTACGATTCCAACATCTTTTCATCATATTATATCTGAAATTTTACAATGATGGTCTACTCTTAGCTACTTTTTAATGGACTATGCGAAGAATACCAATATTGTCCTCCTACAGGAACCTTTATTGAAAATAGTATAGGCAATGGTTCAGGTTTGTCCTTTTAATTGAAAATAGTATAGGCAATGGTTCAGGTTTGTCCTTTTAATTGAAAATAGTATGGGCAATGGTTCAGGTTTGTCCTTTTATTGAAAATAGTATAGCCAATGGTTCAGGTTTGTTCTGGGACGTCGAACATGTCTGCGCTACTTCACCCGCTCTGATGTTTTTCAAATACATTGTGATGTCATAATTGTCCACACCGTATTTCAGCTGAATGCGGTTTGCTCCTGGTTCGCATTCAAGCATTTAAAGCAGTTCCTTTACTCTCCATTTCGTCTTCGGACAGTGTTTTTTCGTCAAGCGCAGTTTTGCAGTAATCGTAACAATGTAAGAATTGTCGTTTCAAGTTGGCTAAGTGTATTTCTTTCTCATCACCTTTACTTAATCAATTGTTGTAATTTTGTATTCATTTATTATTTTTAAGTTTCAAAAGACAAAGACAAGATAGTTTTCTCTTTACCTTTGTTTCCTTTTACTGATTTCTAGGGAGTTCCAATGAACCATCAGCGCATACTCGACCTTTCACAGCTGTGAGGGTTTCTTTTTCGGCCTACTTTTATACCATCCCAGATAAACATAGCTGGGCTTTTATGAGGCTCGGCAACCGAATTATTATGAACCTTACTTTCGTGTACTTTGGCCTTAATTGTTGACAACTGCAGTGACCTGCTAATGTCAACAAAAAGTATCATGGCTAAAAAAAAGTCTTAGAGGTTCATCTTATTCAAAAGTGGTCAAAAATGTTGGCCAAAATCCGAGCTATTGAAAAATGAATAGTTTATATCTCTGAAAGATTTTTCTGAGTTAGAGTTGACATGTGACAAGTATTCCACTTACACCTCGCGTTCCAAGGAACACTATGCCGGCGGCAAATTGTTTGGCAAACAGCACAAGATTGTAGTTGGTCAAATCCTGCGCTCTTCCCTCACCAAGATAATACCGATCCCTCGCTCCTTGGCATTTTATCAGGTAACAAAGTACGTCACCACATGGCATGTACTCCATGATGAGTATAGGGTGAAATTAAGAGACGCAAAACAAAGGAAAAAGAGAATAAACCCCATGTCAAGGCTCCTTACTGCATATCAAAAAAAACCTTTCCGATGATTTTTTTCATAAAGCAGTTTGGCCTACACGAAGGACTCATTTTTCGGGATCTACCCCTACAGGAATTTATTTTCAAAAATTTGCCATAGGTTAAAGGGAAAAGCCGGATAGCCCCGTTAATGAGATTTCCGGCTATCCGACCGAGATCTTTGTGAACTGTCGATGGATACATGCTCTCGAAGAAAAAGAAACAATTCCTTCCGTGAACATCCGAGTTACGGAACTTATGTTCATTCAGCATTCGTAGTATCGTTAATAACATAATATGTTATTAATTATACCTAGAAAAGATACTGTACGCATATTACTTACTTTGTCTCGTAACGCAGCCCATGAACTTTACAATGTTTGGCGGAACGTTTTCACCGATAAGTTTCCCCAGCTCAATTTCTCTCATCAAACATTTCCTTCCTTCCTCTCCAGCAGTGGCTACAACAAAAATATACATTGATGGAGACACATTCTGATTAATATATTTGTTCCATGCAAGTTCAACTTGAGAAGGAATCTGTTATAGTTAAAAACCTTGCATCTTCCTATTTCCGTTTGGATGATAATTTTCACAGCAAGCAGATTGCCATGGCTGAGTTGACCGTGAGTATAAAGGCCGAATTGGACCCAGTTGAGGTTTAAATCCTACCAATACAGGGCATGAAATTAATTTTTTTTTCTGATAGCCACTTGGCTCCTAAATTCTTCAAAGTGGTAGCCAATTCAAAAAAAGTTGGTCGCCATTTTCAAAGACAAACAAAATCTTTCTTTACGCTGTCAGCGTTCTAGATAGACCCTCCAAAATTAAGTTAGGGAAAAGATCTTTAACGTGCTACAAAGTGGACACTAGGATGGATGATATACAACGTTCAGGCTCATCTAAATCCAAGATGGCCTTTTAAATTACTTGCAGGATCACTGCAATGTCAGGATCACTTTTACTACCATACTGGTTGTTATCTTATTTCTTTGTCCCCCCCGGCTCCTCTTCTTTTTTTTTCCGCACGTAACCTTGAGTGAAGAAGAGGGGACCACCCCCTTCCCCCTCCGCCTCTCCCCAAATAAAATATTTTCATAACCGCCCCTGAGATCAACATATGTATCAATACAACGAATAGAAGGAGGCTTACTCGTGAAATATTTAGCGTCCACTGTCCGATTTCCCGGTTGTCCATTTGGTGAGCTCACACGGCTCCGAACGCCCCTCGTCCAATAACGTCTTGAAGCAGGACACGGTTCACCGCTCTTGGTCAGGACTAAATATTGGAAATTAACATTGTATACTTTCAGGTTCAAAACAAAGAAAAGTGATAAAAAAAAAAAAAGAGAAATCAGGAGGAAAAATTGATTTTCCAGGATAACTTGATTGGCGAGATAATCTCTCTTGCCGATATTGAGAAAATAATGTTTTTTAACTAAACCAGGAGCATAAATTATTACAAAACATATCAGTAATTATTGTTATTTAAGTACACTTTGTCAATCGGATGAAGTTCAACAATAGCTTCGTCGTTTGCTTCGTGCTGTTCAATCTTTTTTTCAAAGTATTAAATCTACGAATTAATCAAACCGAAAATAGATGGAAGATACTAAAGAGATAAAAAAAAAATGGAACAAAGGAACTAATGAAGCCGATTCTAACAGCACTTGATGAATGTTAATGATGCATCATACACACGATAAATGTAAAGTCACTGCGATATGATTTTTGTTATCGTCATCATGCAAGCTGATGACCCATGAGGAAGGTAATGGCGTATTTTATTTTTCGATGATTTAATAGTTGCCTTACAGAGCCATAGCTGCAATTCCAAATGATGAATTAAAGGAGATAAAGAAGGTAAAACTTTGCATTAATTTATTAAATCGAATATTCCGATAAAATTTCTGTGTGAAGGCAGCGTACTTCGAAGTTGCACAAATCAGGAGAGACGTGATATTTTCTTAATTTGTAATTATTATCAAAACACCGTAAGCAATAAAAGAAATGATAATCATGATGACACCATACACACATGTGAAAACACTTTAAAATTGGCTTTTTTTGGCCGAACGCGAGTTATTCTTATAAAATCTCTTTCTTTTACTTTCAGACAAAGAAATCTGAAATAACACAGAAAAATGGACGTCACCTGTCCTTCGACGCTTGCAGAAATACCAGGCAATTGGCGAAATGACAATCGCTGCCGCCACTGTTCCACCAATGTAATACCACAAAGTGTTGAAACTTTGCATAGCTCGTGGCACTTGCTTAGCTACTTGTGTAAGATAGATAAATGACCATTAGACAAATCTCGACAGTAGCAAAAGTACTAATAAAATTCAAGTTGTTTGGAATAGCTTTGGAATAGCTTGGCACATTCTTTAACCCGTTATTGACATCAGTTCTTAAAAGCAAAATACCTGAAATTTATAGAGCGAGGTAAGGTAATTTCATGCGTATGGTCAGGTGACCCATAGTTGTTTCGTCTTTAAATGGAAAATAGTTTCAATCTACTCAGAAATATACTTTTTAATCAGTAGAGTTTCATGTTATTTAAGACACAACAGTAACACCAGCTTACCTTTGACGTTTATTTTTAAAGAGGAAAGGGCAACAAAACCGAGCTTGTTATGTGCCTCACAAGAATACACACCACTTTCCTCCTTCACAACTTCAGTTATAGCAAGTTTACTCTTTCTGTCACATAATCGTGTATCAATCTTTGCTCTTTCGGGTGGTGAGTCTTCATCTTTTTTCCAAGTTACATTTATTGTTTCGTCGTTGACGTTGCAGGTCAATGTCAGGTTGTCTCCCGCTGTGAGTGCTGGATACTGATCTGGAACAACTTGAGCAGAAGCTTTTCCTACGTTAAGAAAAAGGAAATTGATTAAAATCCTGGTCCACATTCGTCACCCTCATCGCCATGGTTATCGTCGGCGTCGTCGTTATCGTTATCGTCATTTTCATTACACTTACCGTATACACGCAGTGTTGCAGAGGAACTAGTTGTATTTGCTTTATGTTTCGCTTTACACTTGTAAGTCCCCTCAATCCCTTTTGTGACGCTTGAAAATTCCAGGAATGATTCTCCTTCGTGATTGAATTGATTGATACCAGATGGCAGGTCAGCATTATCAAAAACCCAGACTTATGTTGGTGTTGGCACACCTGAAGCTCGGTAACTAAAGTTCACAGAGTTTCCCTCGGTAAATTAAAAAAAAAAAAAAATCCAAAATTAATAAGGTTTGCATAGTGATGGTCACAAAAAAACGCGATGTTCAAGCCTATTTTTGACCATGGTCAATTTTTTCCAAAGTTTTCTCCGCGCTTAGCATAAAGAGATACTGTTTAACCTTAACTTGTCCCAGTTGTCCCAATAACATTCATCATTTTCTTTTTGGTTGTTGAGTGTGATGTTAAAACACATGGTCAATGACTACCAGTTTCCTTTCTTTAACAGTTTATATTGAATTCCAAAAGTTATTAGGCATTGATGATCAAAACAATGTAAAACATTTGCATTCTGTATTTAAAAAAAAGAAAGAAAGAAAATCTGTCATTTGACGTATCCAAATTGTGCGTTTTAACATGAGTTCATGGGTAAAAATGTTAGAGTGGACCACAGGATTTGCAATCTCTTAAAAGCGGAAGGTGTTTTTAATCATTTCTTTGGTTACGGATTTAGCTTCATTTACAATCTGGGTGCGTGTAAGTCAGAATCAACTGTATGTGACCAGGAACCTTTTTCTAGAAAAAAGAGTACTAAAGTTGGTAATTTGAAACAAGTTATATGAATGTTCCTTTGTAATCTCTTTCCAACTTCAGTCATTAATATTTAGGCAATGATACACTCATATCCAAGTTGATGAACTACCTTTAACTCTAATGAAAATGTATCATAAGATCATGACTCCTTAGTTCCTTGGTCGTCAACATTTTCAAAGGAAATGGATGAAAAGAGAAAAAAAATAGGTCTATTAAAATTTGGCTCAAACTTTAAAACAAATGCTTTGTTAAGTTAAAAGTTTGATAAATGACATAAACTACAATATAAAGTTCACCTGTGACATGGATCCAGAAGGAAGAGTTTGCTTTGCAATAATCATTTTTAGCAGTACATTCATAATTGCCCTTATCTTTAAACATCACTTGTCTAATAACCAAGGTGTTGTTTTTACTAAGGAGCACTCCATCCTTGGTCCAGTTGACAGACGTGATTTGTGGATCACCTCTCAAATAACACTCTTTTGTAAATGTGGAGTTCAATGCAATGGTGATATTTCTAGACTCATTACTAACACGGGGTGGAACTGCAAAGTAAGCATATGAACAAAAGTTACAAAATTATTACTAACACGGGGTGGAACTGCAAAGTAAGCATATGAACAAAAGTTACAAAATTATTACTAACACGGGGTGGAACTGCAAAGTAAGCATATGAACAAAAGTTACAAAATTATTACTAACACGGGGTGGAGCTGCAAAGTAAGCACATGAACAAAAATTGCAAAATTAGAAACCACCCCCCCCCTCCCACATGCAAAAAGAAAAAAAATAATATTAAAAAAAGGAATAAATAAATAAATAACAATTAAAATGAAGAAGAAGAAGAAGAAGACAATGGACCACTTTTTGATAATATCAAACAAATGCTTTCAAAAGCCATGTCAGTCAGGCTGCTATATTACTAACTTACCCATGAAACCATCATATTTTATAACATGAACAAAAGAACAAGTATAGAGACTTTCCAGTTCTTTGCAATAAAAAGCTAATCAAGTGGTGTGACAAATTACTCATCCAGGACCTGGTCCTCGCTGGTGAATCGGTTGCAGGTAATAGTTGAAAGCCCTTGCATTTTTTCAATTTTTCCCATAATTTTCTACGACGACCCTACCCTTAGCTCAGACCCAGACCCCTTAATCTAAAGTCAGGCCCACTGACTATTGATCCACACTTCTTAGACATATCAAATGCATGATTGATTTAGAATACAGTTGTGAGCTTTACAAACACACACTTTACAGAAATTTCAATGTCTTTGGTGGAAAAGCCAGCTGCATTCTTTGCCTTACAAGTGTACCACCCTTCCTCCTCCTTTGTTATCTTTCTTCTGTGATGAGATTGCTTGCTCCAGAAATATCCACATTTGGTTGAACTAAGAGGTAAATAAATAACATATCCATGGAAAATCAGAGGTATTCCAATATCATTTACACTGAACACATTAGATGCTGTAACTAAATGAACGTTTGATGATGACACTAGCGCTTGATATGAAGTATAACCGTTTGTCAGATTGCAGACTTTTCAAACCTTGCATTGAGGTCTACATACTCTTATTATCTTGGACCAATTTACGAAAGACAGAAGGCGCAGCTGTGAGTATGGTCTCTGCCGTTATTGCTAATCTCCACCTAGAGAGTTATAGCGATAACCTCACCATGCTACTGTGTGGGATTCCAGACAATCACAGCCAAACAGAGAGTTTCATAATGTCATGCATTTCTACCAACCTTATAGCATGAAGAAGACACGATATGCAGTCATAAAGTCACGCTCCACATCCAAAGTGACTTAATAGCAAGACAAACAACTATACTGAATTCAGAAAGTGAATTTTTCACCATGACCAACCGAAGTTGTTTTAAGCACATTACCAGTTTGAAAAGAAACTATAAACTTCATCAAAGGGCTCTCACTTTGAGTTATGACGAGGAAACTTCATTGTTGACAAATAACTTAAGTATGATTTTTTTTTTTTTAATAACATGACACCATACTTCAAACAACTACAATCAACAAACATATTCACGACAAAATGTCACCTTATTTATCACAAATGTGTGAATTGTAACTTACCAATAGCAAACCCATAGCCAGAATGAACATTTGGTTGTCCAACTGATCTCTGAAGGCCAAGTAAAAAAAATATGAATAAACATTTCAGAATAGAAACTGAGATACATAGCCTTTTTTGATATCGTTGTTTGGTGGTATTGTTTTGGCGTTTTATCAAAATTAAGTACTTTTCAACAAAAGAGAATGATTAAAAATTGCTCTGGCTGGGGGTATATTGTCATTCATAAAGTTTGATTGATGAGATGACAAGTTCTTTCAGAGATGACAAATTCAATTTCAGAATTTCCTAAATTTATTGAGAAGGAAATAAAACTTTTACCACAGAGAAAGTTCAATAAACCCACATTCTAAAATAATGGGATACCTGGATCTAACTGGATAACTGGATGCTCTATTTGGCATCACTTTAAGTGAAATCTTTGTGTAAAAATACTATGGAAACACAAACTGTATAGCAAGAAACTCTTCTGTCATCTCCACTTTATACTTTCTCTACTTCCCAAGAGTACAGGGTCCCTTCGTTAAAAGCTGAGTTTAGATAACTAATGGTCAGTGTGAAATCTGATTTCATATCTGAAAGCTTTCAAATAAAATTCAGTATGTACAATTCTTTTAGTCTGCAATTTGAAGATTGGATGTCCTAGAAAAACTATAGCAAATTTTTCTAAAAAGGCTTTTAAGCAAAGAATTAAACATACCCTGATTAAAATTTAACCCTGGGTTAGCACTTATCAGCCTTTGAACAACTGGGTCCAGGATTGAACAAGTTTCAATTAAACTAAGTTGTAATTTCAACAAGAAAAAGTTATGATCATTCTTACACCAACAATTCCAGGCAAAGCTGCAATATTTGCAATCTGCTTTACACCAAGAAGGAAACCACCAATACATGGAGAGGAATTTCATTTAATTGTATAAAAGAAATAAGACAAATGCAGGAAATACAACAGTATTATATTCCAAATGTTCAGAGTACTGTACCTTGAGTTCCAGCCCAGTGCTTCAGCTCATCAAACATTGGCTTTTCAAGCAACTCATTTTTATAGAAGATACCTTCAACCTTTAAAGGAAAAAAAAAAGAATAGTTTAAACTTTGGAGTTGAATAGCTGCAACGTACACCTCTACTAGTCTTATATCTGAAACAGTATGTAAAAATTTGTTTATGGTACCAACTAATTAGAACATTCTTACATTGACAATTTCCAGAAAAATGCCACAGTTAGTAACTTGAGGAAAATGAGAGAAATTAGGGCTCATGAATTCAATCATGGATATAATTTGGGTTTGATGGAGGAAGTGAGGACAAATACAATTCTCCATTACAGTCAAACCTGTATTAAGCCGTCACCCATGGGAATGGCATTCAATACAGGATGAGTGCTTAAAATTATACAGTGCCACTGAAGACTGGTTTGACTGTAGTTCGTGAATTGACTGACTGGATCAAAACAAAACAAAAAATGAAAATATTCCTGACATGAGAGAGGGTGGCAGGGGGATAGGATTTGATCGTAACGTGGGTTGAAAAGGTGGAGGGGGGGGGATCTAGTTGTCCCAGAAACAATTTTTCTTGAAACAAAACTTAGTTCAAAAAAGGAAATTACTTTGACAGATATGGCAGATGTACGGGGATTTATTTCGATGAACATAGCTTATCATCATCATTCTCACGTATTAAATCGTTGGACATGTATTTTGACGCGCACGCTAGTCAGCTGGAGTTGGGCTTCCGATCCGATGTTTGGCGCGCGTTCACTTACCTTCATGTTTGAGACAAAGCCTTTCTTGATAAGAAACGAGTTTCCATTTAAGCGCTCAATATAAGAGCACTCCTCTTTGAATGTACGGTGTTCTTTCGCCATGTTAGTCTTTTCATTCACGTTTCACAAAGGTTTCAGCAAACTCAGCGTAGGGAGAAAAGCCATGTAGTAATAACTCAGCGCATGAGTCCCGTTTGAATATGCGCGCAGTGGTCGCGCGCAGTACGATTTCATATCCAGTCTTTCTCTGTCAGGTAATCCATGATGGCGGACGACGTAAGAGTGTCTTAACTCTCCAGGGATAAACCAGAACGGTTGTTGTTATTTAAAAGAGCGTACACATTCAGTCTCTCAATTAAAGCTCTTTGCTCATAGCTTTATACTGGCAGAGGAGAATTCGAAAGGGAAGAAGCGAAAATGGGAACCAGTAGTATTGGACGATCCTTCGTTCTTTGCGGGCGAAATGGATGGATTTGTGTCCCTTGAAGTCATGGAAGACTATGATCTAAAAGAACTAACAGGAATTGGTGCAGGTGGACCAGCTCGGAAGAAGAAAATAAAAGAACGGTCGCTGCAGAAGGTGAATTGCTTAAAGTGCTTTAAAACGTACCGCATGGTTAAATTCAGAAGATAAGATTCACTTCAAGCACGTGGTGAAATTACCCGGTAAAATTTCCGCACAGTCTTATCCTATTGTAAAACAAATCTGTTTTCCCAATAGCAATGTATTATTTTTGTCATTGTTTTCTCTATCCAAGAACTGAATGCATAATGTAGTATGGGGCTGTGCGGAAATTTTTACCATAACTCATCTTTAATTAATAAATGTTGAGGGTTGTCCAATACATCCACATTTGGTTGAATCGTTTACGAATCGACCCACCAGAAGTCAGTTAGTGGTTAAGTCATCTTGTGATACTGGAAATCTGAATAAACTGTGCCTCTTAAGGAGGAAATGTCTTACCAAAAGTGGATTTTTAAGATGCTTAATAAATAATTCTCAACCTGTTACAAGGCAGGCTTGAAAATGTTGTACAATTGACTCGATTTGACTTAAATGGAATGACTCATCTCCTGAGTTGGATTGGGTGTATTGGATATGAGAATAAAAACTAAGATAACTGCCAGTCATACCTTTAATGAAAAAAGAAACAAACAAACAAACAAAAAGAAAACATGAATATGAAAGTGATCTTTGCAGTAATTAACACTACTTGAGCAATAGTGAAAATAAGGCCTGAAAAAATTCAGGCCTGTATGGGATTTGAACCCATGACCTCACCAATACCAATGCAGCGCTCTACCAACTGAGCTAACAAGGTCTTATTTCCAAAACTGTTCAAGTAGTGTCTTTATCCGCAGTTCAAATATACGACTTTCATATATTCACAGTCATTTAAAAAGAAAACAACAACAGGAATAACACTCTTCATAAGAACTTCATGGAATTACATCAAGTGATCAAAATCATTTTGATAGCAATTTGTTCTAAATTTTTCAAAGACAGCAGACTGCACTTTTTTCGGTTTTCTCCAAAAATTTGGCTCATGGGAAAAAAAAAAAGCTACATAGTATTCTCTTTTTATTTAAATCTTATGGATTATCCAAAACAAACAGTTACCACACCATCCACACAACTTGAGAAAAGCACAAAGAACAACCAACAGACAAAGGGAAAAAAGAAGAGGAAAAAGAAAAACAAGGCCCAAAGTAAAGCCCAGTCAGAAGAGCAAAACAGAGTAGAACTGGTCACTGACAATAGACTGGTGGAAGATCCTCCAAGTAAGATTTAATATCATGAATTATGGATGGGAAATGCACAAAACAAAGTACAATTTTACTCCAATGATTGTCCTTGAATTTTATTATTAAGAAGAGAATCAAACACATTTTGTGTAGATAATATTATGTTGGCAAAGATATGATTTTCTATAAATAATGTAATTTTACTGATAAGTTTTATATTACTGTATTGTTATGTATTAATAAAGTATTCATTAATTTAGACTATAAAACCTTTATAAACATATGTCATATCTATGCAGGTACAAATAACTTATTGCATTCAACTGTAATAAAATGATATTTCCTACTAACACTATGAGTTTAAGATGCAATTATATTTATAGCTAAATCATTTATTTTGAATGAACTAAACTTTAGAGCCCATGGCAGATATGAGTGCTTGGGAAGTCCTTGGTGTTCCCAAAGAAGTTCAGAGAGGACTCAGTGAACAAAGTTTTACTACACCAACCCCTATACAGACTCTCTCCCTTCCACCTGCAATATTCCACCACAGGGACATCATTGGTGCAGCAGAAACAGTGAGTTCAATCAGAGCAGTTAGATTGGTGGAGGTCTCTTTTTTTATGTGCATTGTTTGTTTACTTTTTTTACTACTATTTTGAAGAATTCTTTTTTTTTTTGGAGGGGGAGAGAGAGAGAGAGTAGAAAAAAATACTTTTTCAACATGTACATGTATTTACTATGATGTACACCTAGCTCATTTACGTGTAAGAAGACCTTCCCACACATTATAGCAAACAGTTTCTGTTACTTTAGAGCTGGTCTTTGACCTGAATTAATGTCTAAAGTAGGTACTACATGAGTTTTGAATAATTATAAATATGACTTTTGTGAAAGCACTTTTGAGGAGAGCTGTCGAGCTGAAATTATGTGTATAGTGTACCTCTTGAGAGAAAGCTCTGACTGACTGATTAACTGAAGGTTAAATTTTGCTAGATCTTAAGAACTAACTTGGTAGTTCTTCCCTCTATATGTAGGTGTAATCTATCTTCCTATAGTTGGTTGATGGAACATTATTTATACAAAAATGTGCCTTACAGTAAGATTATCAAGATAAGTCCCTTCAGCTTGCAAGTTTTGTAGTTCTCATATCATTTGTTGGATAATGCCTTGAAATTGTCGGTTGAAGTTATGATAAAATCACTTGGGAGAAGCATAGATTTCAGGAATGGCTGGTTTTTGAGGAGGTTATTATTTAAGGTTATTAATTTAAAAAATTGTGTGTATTTACTAGGGTTCAGGTAAAACACTAGCCTTTGGGATTCCAATTCTCACCCATATGCTTGGCCACAAGTCCAGTCAAGAAGCAGGTGAAACTACAGAAAATACTACCAAAAATAATGCTACAGAAGCCACAGAAACTGGTAATGGAACATCCAAGCTCAAGAAACCACTCCTGGCATTGATAATGACACCAACCAGAGAATTGGGGCAACAAATAAAAAATCATCTTAAACAGGCTGCAAAACACTCATCTTTAGAGGTAACTTTATGTACTTAAATTGACAATTTGGAAGTCATCTCCACAGTTAATTCTATTTTCCCATTGTTAGAAACTCTATTATTACTTTATTTTTATTGGCCCAAGTCAATTTTGTCTTGTGAGCCTTCAATACTATTTTTTTCAATGGAGCAGAAGGTAAACCAATCTCTTGTTTGGAAAGTATTTTTTACATTTTTTTGGGGAAACATGATTTTGTAGCCTCAATAGATTTAGGCAGCTTAAATAACAATGAGTCAGCACTGAAACACATCCCTACAAACATAAATTCTATTGTTTTGTGGTACCAAATTCTGGAGTGAAATATTTATTTTATCTACACCCCTTCAGCAGCAAAGTATATAAAAACCCTTTTGTTCACAGAATTACAATCCTAATTTGTATAGGTTGAACTTAAATCAGGGCTGAAATACCCAAAGCTCCAATCTTTGCTTTCCATGAATCAAGTAAACCTTCTTAAGAGTTAAAATTCTCATTAAAATGTAATTCAGTCCATTTTAATAACTTTCGATTCTAATTCGTTACACTAATTTTGGTTTCAATTTGTAGGACCCGCGAAACAGGCCATATGGCAAGGGGAAAAATTTGCACAATCACGTCACGCAACATATCAAGCTGGGTTTGTCCAGTTGATTTTGATGATCGCAGGGAAATGTCGAGTTTCTCGCTCAAAACCATTGTGGTCCATAAGAGCGTAATATCATTAGTTATGGAAACAAATCTGCGGAAAGGAGGGTTAGTTCATCGGGTTCCGTATACTAAATCTCGGGAGAAACTGCAAGAATTATTTCAGAGTGTATGTGGGTTGTTTTGTAAATATAAACACTGTAACCTATTTTAACCTGTTTTTGTGTCCTTTTGAGCGACGCGATATGTCTGTTATGACCAGAGTGTCAAATTTTATTCTTTAATTTTGATCTTCTCCACACTACGTAGTTCATGAACTGATATTTCAACGTAAGAAGGCGCCTTCCGATCACCTTTGTCTACTTTGTAAGTCACGCAAGCGCGCAAGCGTTACGACCGATGACGTTTACGCAACGTTTTAGGACAACTCGGCATCTATTCTCCATTCAGTTGCTGTAAAAACCTAAAATCCTCAACGTAGAAGATAAACGAACGAAGTTTGAACGGTCAAAAGGAGATGTTGGTCAATTTTAAGAATCATGCAAATGATCTTTGACACGAGCGCAATTTAGCAAACACATGGATCTGCGTTGTTTTTTAAGAAGTTGTTGGATGGATGAGGCAATCCGGACCTCATTGGTGTATTAACTATGCACTGATATGCCTTTTCAGCCTGATTAACGCCTGCATTTTGAGAATTCTTTCGTACAAAGTAGTGAATTTTTGTAATGCAAATTAAGGTCGAAGAGAAGGGTCTCCTCTGATCACGCTGGTATGAAAACTATTTCAGCTGAAGTTTCCATATTTTGCTGTGAACTAACTGAATACATCATGTAACTTGGAGCAAGATAGAATTCCGTGAGCTACATTGTTGCAGTCGCTGCGCGCTGGACAAAATCTTTGAAACTTACGCTTTCGATTGTTGTCCACAGGGGTGGTCTGGCCAGAAATCATTTTTGGCTTGTGGCGACGCAAAAAAAGAGAATTGGAGAAAAACTAAACAATTTTTGAAACATGTGTCTTAAACCCTTTTCATGGGCAAAAAATAAAAGGAAACTTTTTTTTCGACGGCAAGTTGAGAGGACCGCTCTTAGCGAGAGTTAAATGTATTGAGACCCCAGAATGTGAAAGAAATTGTTGGAAGACTCTGCTAAGATTTTTATTGTAAGAGGGCCAAAGTACACGTAGGTGAGCATGGAGTTACTTGAGGAGATTTGAAGAATAATCCTTTTTCCAATGAATAATTCATTTGCTGAGAATTCACCCCAAGACTCGTTCACTCTAAACTTCCCTTGTATCTTGGCCGTTTAGTTTACGAGTGAATGATGTTTTGGTATCAATGCTATGGAAATATGTTACTATATATGTGTACTACTCCACACTTGGGTGAAAATTGGCGATTTGACGTGAATACACGTAAGGTTTAGTCGTATGTGTCACCCCATGTGAGGTAATCCGGGACAGTATTAGATTCTGGATTCCATCCTGTGGATTCCGGATTCCAGGTGCTAGATTCCGGTTCCCTCTCAAATTACTTTTTAACTTTCCTTTTAAACAAAAACCAGACTGAGGAAAAATTTAAACTGAAATACAGGTTTTGTACTACCCCGTGTATGTCGCTAATAAATCCCAGACTATGACCAAGAAAAGCTTGTTTTCCTACGTGTAGTTAGAGATGATGTTCGACATTATGAGATTGTGCATAAAACGATTTTCAACCAGCTCAACTATACTCAAACCTTTGCAAAATCGGAAAAGATCTGCATTTACACAAATTTTTCAAGAATAACAGGTTCTCTTTTCTATACTTCAATTTTCTTTAAAAGGTTAACCAAGTCAAGTCACATTACTTCGGCTATGAATTCTCCAGAAAAATGATTCTATAAAGATTTAAGGTGGCTCGTCGCTTTTTTTTTTTTCAAGTTTGACCCTAAAATCTGGTAATATCTTATTTCATTCGCACTGAGATAAGATGTTTTATTAAATATTCAAATTTGTTATTCCGAATGCCAAATATCAAAGAAAGCGGTTTACGTTCTAATAGCGAAAATTCTCCCGGCTCCCATAGGTGTCCATATATATCTTTGTTCAAAGTTTGTCGTAACTGGAAACGTGTGGTCCGTTGCCATGTTGGTGTTCCAATCATATCCTGGGGAATTTGAGTGCTTTTGTCACGTAAACAATTTCTTTTGTCTCTCCAAGTTTGCCAACCCATTGACCACGTGAGTGAACTGCACTCCACAGCGGTTGCATTAGTCATCATAAAACGCAGACTGCAGACCATGCAGACTGTGAAAACCGCGCGCTTTTTTTAAACTGTGATTTACATATGATTAAGGTGTATACACCACTTTCTTGCTCTTTTGGTAACGTTTTTCCAAGTTTTGGACACCACATGACGAAATTTTACGAGTTTATATCGAACTATCGTTACCTAGCAAAGCAAAATCACAAGCTCAAGTTTCTCGAGCTCATGGAGATTAGCCCCACACGGCTAGATGTATTGCAGATGTTATTTTTGTGGACAGTGAAGCTGTTTTAGAGGTATGGAATGTGCTGTATGAACGAAGCAAATGATTACCAGGATCTTCATAAGACAGCCCAAAGAACTTTACGGTAAAGAAAGTGCTGCAAGCTAAAATTGAACTTTTCTAGGAATAAGATTTTTGAATCGGAGTAGAAGACTGAATAATAGCTATTAAGGAACTTTGGCCATTACAGTATCGAAGTCGACTGAGTGATAGGTCATGACTGAATTTGTCGTTGTCACGCGAGCTGTAGCGGTCAAAATTCTGCAGCGAACAAAGCGCGCTCTACATGATCTGCACGGTCTGCAGTCTACGTTTTAGCATGACCGTGGTTGCATGGATGCACATGAAAGCCGTTAATACGATTTGAAAATGATCTTCAGCAAATGGATTCTGGATTCATTATCTAGCGGGATTCTGAATTCCAATGCCCAGTATTCCGGACTCCACAAGCAAAAATTTCCTGGATTCCGGAATCCGGATTACCTTACATGGGGCGATATGTGAAATCTGATGACCCGATTCTACCTTGTCTCTCTCTGACCTGATGACCGAACAACATCCCAAGCTGTAAGCCAAGACTGGTGTGGTCAGGTGGCTTGATTTGTGATCCTTATTCCAATGGGACAAACTAATGCACAAAGCACCAGTTTTAACATGTAGCTCGGTCTACACTAAACGCTTCTATGAGTTGTGACGCTGTGCAGCATTGTCTTCCATCTTTAAGAGCTCTTTTTCTTCGAACGCAATTTGCATTGTCATGGTAAAGTGAATTTTTTTCTTTTGAAGGCTCTACTTCCCCCATTCTCTCGAGTGTGAGTCAGGTCTCATTTCCCAAACAGTTTCCGGGTATCACCAAGGATTTTTTATGACATGATTGACAAACAGCACCAGAAATGAAAAGAAAAGTGCGAAAATGAGATGCAACTAGATCTCTACAAAGTTCTTCATCTTAACACTTGCATATCAAGGAGGTAAAAATCTACAGACGTATTCTATGATAATAATTATGTTTTTGTATTATACCATCATGCGAGCCAAATGCAGCATGGAGACAAAACAGGTTAAGTCAATCCTTGATTTAGTGGATCACGTTCTGCAGAGTCCTAATCCATCGATCTGAATTCAATTAATTTGGTGTGAAGGAAACACTTCAACTGCTGATATCTGGACTTATAATGAGCTTGCAAATTTTACAACTTGAATATAATAAAACCTATAAAGAATTAACAATAATCCTTACACAGAACTTGCAAACTGGTAATGTTCTCTTACTTGGACAATCGGGTCTCTGATAGGCAGTTTAGTTACACTTCTTACGCTCTCATTATTCTTGCTAGCAAATGAGATTCTCTAATGAGATAACTAAGGCCATTGAAATGATTCCAGTATATAAGATGGCGAAGGTGACTTTAATTCTTGATGGATACGTGAATGGAGGCTGCGTCGTGGAGCCTGAAAGAGAATGAAGTACCATGGTTAAAGCAAAAATAAAGGAAATAGGTCTGCAACGCGCGCGTACACCGAAAGGCGACATAGATAGTGACGATATGCAATAATAATTATCGGAAAAACATCCATTAAACCCAAGCTTTTTCCATCATTGAAGAGTGCATCACTTCTGTCATAAAGGGATATGCCCTTGATCGGTGGAAAATGTCAACACTGTTTGTGCTTTGCGTTTTTCACAAGTATTGCAGCAGCAACAATGGTAGCGTTAGCTATTTTTTGGACACTTTCAAGCGCCATTTTTGAAGGTGGTTTTCCTACCGTTATCAGCCTACGAGGACGTCAACATTTTTGGATCTGCAGCTTCCTAGTCTCTATTGACTGAAGAAGTCAGCATAATTTATCTGAATACTTGGTTGACGGGATAAGCTCAGCTCTAAAAAAGTTGAGTCTTTATTTCAAGCAACGTTGCGTTCTTTGAATATTGGGTCTGCCAGGAAAAAAAGTGAATTTCAGATTATTACTGTCAAAATTACAAAAATCTAGATGTTTACCACAAAACGGCGCAGTTCAGCCAGCTTGCTTAACAGCCTCTTTCATTTTTTTTTTTTGGTTGTTTTTTTGTCTTGTTTTGTTTTTGTTGTTTTTTATTGGTCAAAAATGTGCTGCACTTCTTTTCAGAACTAAAATTGTGTCGATCGTTTATTTCGATCAGAGAGAAAAAATCTGAGATCCGAGCTTAGTTAAAGAAATGAAAATGGAAAGTAATAACTTAGCTAAGAATCCTTACTCCTAGGGAAGGCATTTGCCACCCAAATTATCGAATGATGTAAGCGAAAATTTTGTGTCAACCTTTTTTTCGTCATCTAAGCTATTTTGAAAGATGGTTTCGGCGGATTTATCGCATAACGAGAGAAAAAGATCAAAAACACCTGAGCAATAAAAATCATTAAAAAATAATCAAATTGACTAGTGAAACAAAATGCTTTATCTTCCCTTGTGCTATTGAAAACCCAGTTTGACGTGGTGAAATTCGTTCCTAAACTAAGATTTGTAACTATTTCCGTTTAAGCTAAGTGTTACCGCTTCCGAGAAAAGCTGCGAAATATTTTCTGGTTAGGTTGACGCCCCCCTGATTAGTTCTTTTTAGACAGAAAATTATAGTTAGCGTTTCAGTTCAAGATAAGACCCCGTGTGATCAAGATCATTTTTGAATAGAAGACAAGTTAGACCGTAATCCTTGATAAAGTAATCAAGATTCGCGAGCGTTGGTAAGCAATAACTTATTTTGTGATTATGTTACCTAGCTCGTAGTCGTTACTCAAAGCAAAATTTATCGCTCGTTTTTACCTTTCTTTTGGTTCCTTTAACTGACGCGTGCTCGTTTCCAAAATCGAGATTATTCTTAAGCTATGATCACAATACTTAGGTGATTTCTTTACGTAATAATTTCAGTTGACCGCTTCGATATAATAACGCCCCAAGGAATAGAAAAAGGAATAAAGAAAGGAAAGATCCTATTTGGTTTGGTGTTTATCGCATTCGCGTGTATCAACCCGGGAATCGAATTTGCAACTCTAGCTTGAAAAGAAACATTTATTGATATTGATTCAATTATAATCCCGTAGATGCAAGAGTTCGCATTCCACGTTTACATCTCGTCCCTTCGGCTGCTAACATGGCTAAAGCATGATCACTTAATTACAACGACGTTTACCCGTAGGGGGCTTTAAATAACAAAAAGAGTCTCAACTGATTTCAACTTCACACTTCCTCTGAAGAAGAAAAGATTCTCTATCTTCGAAAATTCCCTCATCAGGAAACAACAACAAAGGTCCCCAGCTGCTTGAAGATACCGCTGGTTAGCATGCGTTTTATCGCAAGTTGAGAGAACGTCGTCCCCAGGTTCCAGACCACGCCAATTTTTCCCTTCCCTCCCCACCCCCCGGACTGTTCTCTTAATCCCCTTGAAGAAACCGTCTTCTACAGCCAGTGCTGAAGAGTTTTATTACAGTTTTTTTCATAATGAGGGGATAGAAAATAAACTATAACAAGATATAATAAAAAAGTTTTGATTGTCTTTAGCCGGCATAGTATTATATCAGAGGAGAGATAAATCGGGGAGATATATGCCATGGTCAGTCAATCTGGATTGAAACACTTCAGCAATTCAGCAGTGCAGTGGATCAGAACATTGATAACAGAGGCACTTAAAACTTATCCTTCTGTTGCATCTTGAAGTGATCGAATCAGTTAAAAAATATTGCCCCCAGTGTATTTTATAACAGCGAAACATCGACAAATCCTAACTGACTCCTTTGTTATCATGATGACAAACTCGAAGGTTCCCCTTGACAAGCACGCAGTTCTAAACAGACCGATAAAGCATGCGTCAAAGACGCGGCCAGCCATAGCTTCGTCCGTAAGTGTGAAAAGTTGAGAGTGTGGATATCTCATTTGGTGATATACATGAAGATGCCATTTCATAGATGCGACCAGCGCTTAAGACTGATGACGTCATCCAAAAGCTTAATGAGGATACGGAATGGTTTCAATCTCAACTGACTTGGTAATCAATAAAAAGTCATAAGATAAGCCTCTAATCTTTTTATTGCAGATATTAAATAGAGTGTTTTACATTATGTTAAATACAACTTGTTGTGTTTGGATAGCGCACAAAATTAAACGCTCATCCGTGCTCTCATTTCGCCCGGTTTTCAAACAAGCACTCCATTTACCATAGCAAAACAATATGAACCCTTTACATGGCGTTTTCTTTCTCATACGAATCCAAAGCACTTAATTTGAATTAACTCCCACTCTATTAAGACGGTTCTCTCCGTTTATGACAAAAGCATTTAACACTAGCAGCAAAACGGTAAATGTCAATAACAATGCTCTCGCTTGTTTTCAAATAAAGGTAACTTGAAAGTTAAACAAATCACTAGAAGTGATGAAATATGTAACTTAAAGAAGATACTTCATTAAGTGATAATGCTAGTTAATACCACACGACTAATTCATTACCAAACTACAAAATTTTACCAAATTTCATATCGCCGTTAGGAGATCTCTTACTAGGTCTGCCACAAACAAATTTAGTAAATGGTTTCACAATAAAACAATGAAAAGCTCGCCAAGTACATCTATCGGCATAAACGAGCCGTTTTTCAAGTAGGTTGTTTTTTGCTTGTTTCTTTCTTTCTCTTCTGATTTAATCTATTACGGAAGTTTAATTCATATCTATCCAATATTCCTTATTCTGACACCGATTAAATTATTTATTATGGCATTCTTTAAGAATTAATTAATTAGTTTCTTGTACTTTTATTATTATCATTTTGTCAATCAAGGACAAAGCTTTCACATGTTCTTCTAATAATTATAGGGAGAGAAATTTAACCAACACAAATCTACACTTAGTTTAGCACCGAGAAGTGACGATTATGTACCCTAACGACGGTCACTGGCCCATTTTCCCAATCTCTTAGCTGAGGTCTTCTTTGCAACTTCCTCACTTGGTCCTGCATCTTCATCTCCGAGATCTTCAACCCTGGAGTATTTTGCCTTGTCATAAGCGCCCATGTCAAGAAGTTCCAAATATGTCTTAAAAGAAAGTAACAAATGAGGGTTACACATTAGCTGCAGAGCGCTAAAACACAGTAAAGCTAAAAAAGTCAAGCTGTAAAGTGCGATCACTTCCCCGGCATACTGAGAATCTCTTTGGGTTAAAGTCGCGTATATACTAAGTGCATTCCTTATTTCCTCTCTGAAAATAGAGAAGTTGCAGGTAGGTGGGTAGAACTGAGCAGATTTATGCCCTAGGGACGATCACAACCGCCGTAAATATCAGTAGCAGCCAACAAGTGGAAATGCTCGTAAATGGCCTGACGGGCTGGAAAATGTCTCTACCAGAACTATGACTGGTCTCAGCTGAGGCTTTTATGGAGCGAACGGAAATAAAACCAAGGCTACCAAGTATTTGCCCCATGGAGGCAAGGTAAGAAGTTTGAAAAGTTTTCGAGTCTTTAAAATGCATAAAATATTGGGAAGTTGTCAATTCTAGAAACGAACCTCTTCACGAATGTATGTGTCCATTCTTTGTCGCAGGTTTTCAAAAGGAGGACGGAAGTCAGGGTTACGATTCCAGCACCTTTTCATGATATCATACCTGAAATTTAACAATGATGGTCTACTCTTAACTAACTTTTTATGGATTGTGCAAAGAATACCAATAAGGTCCTCCTACAGGAACCTTTCATTGAAAATAGTATAGGCAATGGTTCAGGTTTGTCCTTATAATGAAAATAGTGTAGGCAATGGTTCAAGTTTGTTCTGGGACGTCCAAAATATCGCACTTCTTCACCCGCTCTGATGTTTTTCAAATACATTTTGATGTCATAATTGTCCACGCCGTATCTCAGCTGAGTGTGGTATGCTGCTGGTTCACATTCACATAACGGAAACCTACTGATATGATTGTGTTCCAATTGCTTTATTGCAAAGATTTCATCAATGAGAACGGTAAATGTGTCGTCTTGGATCTTAAGTTATTTTTAGGAACACGTTGGTATTATTCTTAAAAAGTGCAACTCACAGTTTTTTATCAACATGATCGGGCTTTGGCATCTGATATCCCTTTGTGACCTCTGCAACCACCATGCCTTCTGACCATCCGTCGTACGGAATTCCTCCTGTCAAAGGATAAAAACAAGTGCATGTCACATTTCTTAATATATGAACTCTACAGTGACCGTGTCACAACTAAATTACAGGACGGAACATTACATGAGAACTGAAGAATTAATTAGCTCCGAAAAAGAATTTTACAGTGATGGATGGCTACACTTTAAGTAAAACAAATCTTTATTAAAATAATAGTAACAAAAATGGTATTACTTCTATATAGCGCTTGCATATTTCTGTCCTAAGCGTTAAATGTATTGACTGAACATAGCTTGGCTTACCAAGGGTAACTATCTCATACAGAATTTGATTCCATAGGACCACCTGACGAGAGCATATCAGAAATATTCTACAGTTAATCGCTGAGTGAATTTTGGACGTGAAATGATGAAGAAAAATCCAAAAGTAATCAGTTTGTTAGGTTGGTGGATTAATATACATATCTATACATACACATCACTCAAGGTGGAAAGTCCAGCAAGTTCTCCCAGCAGAATCTCTGGTGCCGTCCATTTGATTGGCAAACATCCCTAGAAAAAAAAAACAATAAATGTTTGCCTTACAAAAGCATATGTACATTTTTTTTCAAAGCCATCTTTGAAAAAATATGAAGCTACATAACGTAAACATGTTAAAATGTGAAAAGAAAGCTACATTTGTCGTTCCCTTATAAGTCAATCCAATGTTAGCCTTCGTAAAGTTGTCACGGAAAACAGAAAACGCAACTCCTTTCACAGGGCTTTCTACAAAAAACGCTAGTGAAATTGACATATCCCGATACCCAGGCCAGAGTACTTATTCTGTTAATTTCTAACTCTGCTTTGTTTTGCTTTTTTCTTGTAAGTAAAAGTGAGCTATAAAACCCTGTTGGTAGTCGAGGTACATTTACTTTATGCAGAGAATATGTTGACGCTTCCAACTTTTTTCCAGAAAACACCGCACTAAAGCAACCAAAAAAGTTTTTTCTACCTTTTTGGCATTTCCATGGCCATACTTGAAACTTTGATATGCCATACCAAAGTCCGTCACTTTGCAAACATAGTTGTTATCGAGGAGAATGTTTCGAGCCGCCAGGTCACGATGGATGATCTATCAGAAGATGAGGAGCCGGAATATAAGAGTTAAGAAACGGTAGGTTTATATAATACAGCTGTGAATTAAACGTCTGGGTATGTTCGAACAATAAAGGGGCTGAAACTAAGGCAGCTTTATATAATGATTTAATGTTGACAAAACTAAGATTTCTTCTTTCTTTATCAAAAAACAAATTTGACTTTTTTACAACAGCGAAATTAACGATAATGATAACGATGATAACGATAATAGTAATAATTATGCTGATAATCATAATAATTATGATAATAAAATAAAATTTAGAAATGGTAAGCCAACGGAGGACCCGTTGTGTTCCAAGAAAGAAAAAGACGAGATTGTTTTCTCTTTACCTCTGTTTTCTTCTACAGATTTTTAGGGAGTTCCATTTTTCCCTCTGTTTGTTTTGTTTTTAAGTGTCGCAATAAGGTTTTATATACATATATATATTTATATATGTATGTATGTATGTAGCGCAGATTATTTATACGACGCGCCACTAGCCCAAATGAACCATCAGCGCATACTCGATCTTTGACAGCTGCATGAGTTTGTCTTTTCTTTTTTTAGCCTAATTCTATACCATTCCAGGTAATAAGAGCTAGGATTTTTTGAGGCTCGGCAACCGAATTATTATGAACCTTACTCTCGTCTCTTGGCTCATTTTGTTGAGATCTGCAGTGACCTGCTAATGTCAACAAAAAGTATTATGGCTAAAAAAAACTTAGAGATTTCTCTAATGTAAAAGCACTCAAAAATGTTGGCCAAAATCTGAGCTGTTGAAAAATGAAAAGTTTAAATCTCTGAAAGATTTTTTCTGAGTTAGAATTGACACGTGACAAGTATTCCACTTACACCTCGCGTTCCAAGGAACACCATACCGGCGGCTATTTGTTTGGCAAACAGCACAAGATCGTAGTTGGTCAAATTCTGAGCTCTTCCCTCACCAAGATAATACCGATCCCTCACTCCTCGGCATTTTCTCAGGTAACCAAGTAGGTCACCACATGGCAAGTACTCCATGATGAGTATGGGATGAACTTAAGTGACGTTAAAAAAGAGAAAAAGCAAATAAATCCTATGTCAAGGCTCCTTACCGTATATTCCTGATAGCTCTCGTCATAAAGCAGTTTAGCTTACACGAAGGACTCATTCTTTTAGCATCTACATTCATCAGAATTTACTTTCAAATATTTGCTACAGGTTAAAGGGAGAAATTAAGCTGGTTAGCTCCGTTCACGAGATTTCAAGCTATCCGACCGAGACCTTAATGAACTTTCGTTGGATACATGCTTTCGAAGAAAAACAGTCTGGTTGCCAAACCGAAAAAAGACAAACTTGGCTCCATTAACATCCCAGTTACGGAACTCATGTTAAGAGGTCCTAAGAGGGTTCATTCAGCATTTGTAGTATCGTTAATAAAATATACCTAGAAAAGATGTTGTACGCTTAGTACTTACTTTGTGTCGTAACGCAGCCCATGAACTTTACAATGTTTGGCGGAACGTTTTCACCGATAAGTTTACCCAGCTCAATTTCTCTCATCAAACATTTCCTTCCATCCTCTCCAGCAGTGGCTAAAACAAAAGTATACATTAATGGAGACACGTTCTGATTAATACATTTGTTCTATGCAAGTTCAAGCCAGAAAGAATCCGGTAGAGCTACAAACCTTACTTCTTCTTATTACCATTTGGATGATAATTTTCGAAGATAGCAGATTGCCCAACTCACCTCTCCCCCAAGCTAGCAGATTGCCCAACTCAGCCCCCCCCCACCCCCTACTGACCTTGCCATACCTGTGACCTTTTATATTTCATATGTTGAGAACAAGAACAAATCAAGAACAAATCGAAGGAGACTTACGCGTGAAACATTTAGCGGCTACTGTTCGATTGCCAGGTTGTCCATTTGGCGAACTCAGGAGAGCTCTCCACACGGCTCCAAACGCCCCTCGTCCAATGACGTCTTGAAGCAGGACACGGTTCACCGCAACCTCCCACTCATCTACCCCTGCATTCAATGGCTCCATCTGAATTGCCTCCTCTTGGTCAGGACTAAATATTGGAAATTAACATTGTATACTTTGTATACTTTCAGGTTCAAAACAAAGAAAAGTGATAAAAAGAAAAGAGAGATCAGAAGGAAAAAAAATTGATTGGGGAGATAATCTCTCTTGCCGATAGTGGGAAAACAATGTTTTTACTAAACCAGAAGCATAAATTATTACAAAACATAACAGTAATTATTGTTATTTGAATACACTTTGTCGATCGGATGAAGTTCAACAATAGCTTCGTCGTTTGTTAAAATTAAACAAGAAACAGTAGGTTTTAAAATCAGAAAATTTTACGTGCATTTCAATGCATCAATCTATAAATTAATCAAACCGAGAATAGGTAGAAGATACTATTGAAATAAAAAAAAATTAAACAAAGGAACTAATGAAGCCGATTCTAACAGCGCTTGATGAATGTTAATAATGCATCATAAACACGATAAATGTAAAGTCACTGCGATATGATTTTTGTCATCGTCATCATGCAAGGTGGTGACCCATGAGGAAGGTAATGCCGGGTGTTTTTTTTTTTGATGAATTTGATGAATAAAAGGTGAAATAGTTGACTTACAGAGCCATAGCTGCAATTCCAAATAATGAAATGAAGGAGATAAAGAAGATAAAAGTTTGTATTAATTTATGAAATCGAATATTCTTAAAGAATTTTTCTGTAATGGCACTAATATTAAATTTGCATAAATTAGGAGGGACGTGCTATGTGCTGAATTTAGAATTATTATCAAACACCGTTAACAGTAATGGAAATTATAATGATGATACCATATACAGACGTGAAAAAAATCTACAATTAGCATTTTTTTGGCCGCACGCGAGTAATTCTTATAAAAATATTTCTACTCTAAGACTCTTAGCTTAGTGTCCCCTCATTCTCCTTCCCCCCAGTAGACATGCAAAATAAGTTTAAATATTTCCTTCTTTTACTTTCGACAAAGAAATCTGAAATAACAAAGAAAAATGGACGTCACCTGTCCTTCGACGCTTGCAGAAATACCAGACAAGCGAAATGACAATCGCTGCCGCCACTGAGCCACCAATGTAATACCACAAAGTGTTGAAACTTTGCACTTGCTTTGCTAATTGTGTAAGATAGATAAATGACCATTAGACAAATCTCGACGGTAGTAAAAGTACTAATAAAATTCAAGTTGTTCGGAATAGCTTTGGAATAGCTTGGCACATTATTTAGCCTGTGATTGACACCTGCTCTTAAAAACGAAATACCTGAATTTCATAGAGCGATGCAAGGAAATTTCATGTAAATGGGTCAGGTGACCCATATTTGTATCGTATTTAATTAAAAAATAGTTTTAATCTATTTGGAAATGTATTTTTTAATCGGTAAAGTTGTATGTTTTTTTTTAAGACACAACGGTAACACCAGCTTACCTTTGACGTTTATTTTTACAAGGGAACGGGCAACAAAACCGAGCTTGTTACGTGCCTCACAAGAATACACACCACTGTCCTCCTTCACAACTCCAGTTATAGCAAATGTACTCTTTTTGTCATCGAATCGTGTATCAATCTTTGCCCTTTCGGGTACTGAGTCTCCATCTTTTTTCCAAGTTACATTTATTGTTTCTTCGTTGACGTTGCAGGTCAATGTGAGGTTGTCTCCTGCTGTGAGTGCCGGATAATGACCTGGAACAATTTGAGCTAAAGCTTTTCCTACATTAAGAAAAAAGCAATTGATTAAAATCATGGTCCACGTTCGTCACTTTCCTCGTCAGCATCATGTCAGTGTCAGTGTCACGTCATCGTCATCGCCATGGTTATCGTCGGCGTCGTCTTCACGGTCAGCGTCATCATCATCGTTATCGTCATTAACATTAAACTTACCGTAAACACGCAGAGTTGCAGAGGAACTAGTTGTATTTGCTTTATTTTTCGCTTCACACTTGTAAGTCCCTTCCATCCCTTTTTTAACGCTTAAAAGTTTCAGGAATGATTCTCCTTCGTAACTGTATTGATTGATACCAGATGGCAGGTCAGCATTATTAAAAACCCAGGCTAATGTTGGTGTTGGCACACCTGAGGCTCGACAACTAAAGTTTACAGAGTTTCCTTCGGTAACAGACTGGTTTATCGGAGGCTCTATAATCTGTGGAGATACTTCAATTTAAAAAATCCAAAGTTAATAAGGTTTGTGTAGTCCAGTTTAACTCCATTTATCCAATCTTTGATAAAACGACGAAACAACAACAACGACAAAAAATCAAAACAAAAAGCGCGATGTTCAAGTCTATTTTTGACCAACGATATTTTTAAAGGAAAAGGATGAAAAGAGAAAGAAAAAATAGGTCTATTTAAATTTGGCTTAAGCTTAAAAACAAACGCTTCGTTAAGTTACAAGTTTGATAAATGAAATAAACTACAATATAGAGTTTACCAGTGACATCGATCCAGAAGGAAGAGTTTGCTTTTCCATAATCATTTTCAGCAGTACATTCATAATAGCCTTTATCTTCAAGCGTCACTTGTCCAATAACTAAGGTGTTGCTTTTATTAAGTAGCACTCCATCCTTGGTCCAGTTGACATATACTTGTGGGTCACCTCTCAAATAACACTCTTTTGTAAATGTGGAATTAAATGCAATGGTGAAATTTCTTAACTCATCACTAACACGGGGTGGAACTGCAAAGTAAGCATATAAATACAAATTACAAAATTATAAGCCACCCAAAGCCTCCCCCCTCCCTCCACCCGCAAAAATAAGAAATAAGAAATATAAAAAAAACTAATAAATAACAATTTAAAAAAGAAGAATTCGATGCACCATTTTTTGATCATTTCAAACAAATGCTTCCAAAAACCATGTTAGTCATGCTATATTACAAGCTTAGCCATGAAACCATCATATTTTTAGAGCAGGAACAAACGAACAAGTGTAAAGACTTTCCAGTTCTTTGCAATAAATAACTAATCAAGTTGTATGAAGAATTACTGTACACTTGACGAACACACCTTTTACAGAAATGTCAATGTCTTTGGTGTCAAAGCCTGCTGCATTCTCTCCCTTACAAGTGTACCGCCCTTCTTCCTCCTTTGTTATCTCAGAAAAGAAGAGAGACAAACTCTGTCCTTGCAATGTATTATTCTTGAGCCATGTGATCCGAGGTTCAGGCCGACCCTCCACAACTTTACACGTCAAGTTCACACTGTTTCCTTCTATGATGAGATTGCTTCCTCCAGAAATATCCACTTTTGGTCGAACTAGGAGGTAAATAAATAACATGTCCTTGGAAAATCGGAGGTATTCCAATATCATTTACACAGAACACATTAAACGCCATAACTTAACATAATGAACATTTGATAATGACACCAGCGCTTTATATGAAATATAATCATTTGTCAGATCGCGGACATAACTTCGTATTGAGGTCTACATACTCCTATTATCTCGGACCAGTTTACGAAAGACAGAAGGCGCAGCCATGGAGAGTATGGTCTACCCTGTTATTGCTATAGAGTTTTAGGAGCATTCGATAACCTTATCACCCTATAATCTTGGTTCGCGAAAACGCTGATAGTTTGCTACAGCATTTGAAGAACCGAAAGCATTCCATTCACTTCACTGATGTTATAAATAGTAACAAGTCACTCGCCATCCATGGTACTGCATCTTTAAAACAAGAGTCCGAGGTCTAAAAGATTCCCTGTGAGTAATGCGAAGTTTACATCAGCGGAACATGCAGTCCCATGCAAGTAATGGTTAAACGAGTGATATGGCAGATGGAGAAACGACATGCTTAGACAAAGGCCTCTGCAGTTTCAGAAGATACCTGGAAACCACCTGCTCTGGACAGTAGTAGAGTACATTGATTGTGATCCTATTATTATACACGCAGGGTAAAAGAGGCCATCCACGTAAGATTTCGCATGTTACAACATAAATTGAACATTGGGGTAGACATCCCGGAAACATGGATGCGGACCACAAGAAACACAAACATAATAACTTTGCGACAGTGGACTCAGAAAGAACATTTAGTCAAAGTGTGGCAATCGAGGCCTGTGTGGGATTCTAGCCAATCACAGTCAAACAGAGTGTTCATAAGGTCATGCATATCTACCGACCTTATAACACGAAGAAGACACAATATGCAGTCAAAAAGTCACAATCCACATCCAAAGTAACTTAATGGCGAGATAAACGATTATAATGCATTCAGAAATTGAATTCGTCACCATGACCAACCGAAGTCGTTTTAAGCACATTACCAGCTTGAAAAGAAACTATGAGCTTCATCAAAGGGCGCTTACTCTGAGTTCTTTTAACAGGACACCCTACTTTAAAACAACCGTAATCAACAAACATATCCACGATAAAATGTCGCCTCGCATGGCTGCGGATATGAACAGCGAAAAGGTTTTGAAACTGAGTAAATTAAATTCATTACATTTGAAGAACTGACTTTATGACTTTCTATATATCATCTCATTGGTCACTCACCTATAACTGTCACTACTATGTTTTTATCTCTGCTTGTGACCCTCTGTGGTCCTTTAGTTTGTTTCATGGTACAGGTGAATGTTCCATTGTCTTCAGGCTTTACAAAACCAATACGCAGGCTGCCGTTGGATACTTGAGTGAATCGTTTCGGGTCTAAGGACTTTCCTCCTTTCTTACTCCAAGAAATCTGTGGACTCGGTGTTCCATCAGCACTACAGCTTATAATTCCAGACGTGTACGCAATAAAGGTTTGTTGGTCCAACGTCTTTTGAGTAAATCTTGCTGTTGAAAGCAGTAATGAAAAGCACCAATATCACAGCTATACTGTTGAAAAGTCAGAAGTGTACTTGTCTTACATGGCATTGTCCTATATGTTAAGCCTATTTATACAAGATAAAAAGATGCGTTTTCATACCATTAATGTAGACAATGTAATATTGAACATATTCCAATCTCTGGCATTCATATATTCCTCCATCAGATAGCTGCACGTCATCAATGAACAGATCACCATTGTCTTCAGCCCTGATCCTTTCAGAAGTAGAGTTTGTTATTTCAAGCTTTTGCCTATTAATGACCCACCTAGCATGAGTGGTTTTATTGTGTATAGAACAGTGAAGCTTTTCTCTGCTACCAATATCAAAATAGAGTTCATCTCTTTTCAACACTTTCTGGTTTTCTGCAAAAAAATAGTTCAGTTTAGAAGATTTTATCAAAATAAATCAAATTTTTTGTATTAAACACTACAAGAAGAGATAGAATAGTTGAATATATTTGCCTGTGCTAAAGCTTAAATTGAGAAATGTTTTTAACAATGTCGTATTTTAAACTTAGTTACAATACTCCAAACAAAATCCTGTTAGCCATTAGGTAACCCTTAACTGAAGTCAGGTGATCTTATGAGCAGTCATATCACCTTCATGAAAGTCATGTACACCCTAGCTAACATCTTTTCACCTCAAGACCAAGTTGAATCATCTATAAGGAGGGTAAGTTCTTAAAGAAACTGTGGCGTTGCGTCGGTGGGGGAGTATAACACCCACCATGACGAAGGGCTAACGAAATTTAGCTTTGAAACTCTTTACGGGGGCAAATTTACATTATCAACTCGGTTGTAAAATCAAAATCATCTAAGTCATTTTAAGTCGACTCATGTTACCCTTAAACCAAGTCATGTCACCCTGAACCTTCCACTTTAGAAGGTCAGTGGGAAGAAGAAAGACAATCACGAAAATCAGAATAACTAATCAGACCTAAAAATTTAGTTGCTTACTTGGTTGACACAACGCTTGAGAACCCTTGTGATCCGCTTGACATTGAGGTGGAATGTTTAACTTTCCATCGATGCGATCGCATGATGCAAGTTCAAACTCCTCTCCAGCGCAAGAGACATCGGACATTGCAAAAGGTATTCCCTCAGCCTTTATGTCTGACCCAATAAATTCCGCTAAAGCCTCTTCAAAGCCAAGTTGACGACAAATAACTTTGACATCATTAAAGTCCCATTTATTCCTACATATCTTTGCCCATTTCCCCTTGTAAAACACTTCCACTCTTCCTCCATACTCCACATTTGCGCCATTCAAGCGAACAGGAACTTATGGAATTACAAAAATTGTAATCCATTAAGATGGAAAATACTTGTTATCACGAATCAAGAATGCCTTTAAATCACGAAAGGATAAATAGTTCATGCCAGTCTAAGTGTTTAGTTTTAAGGGAAATTCTAGGTGTAAATTAATCAGTATTCGTACGTTGGATATATCGTTCTTTGTCCGATGTAGTTCACGACATTTACATAGTTTCCTTGCAGCGATGTTTTACGACGAACCTCTTTTACATTGCTTCGTGACTGTGCTTTAAATTGTGAAACAAGATTTTTAAAAAAAAAATGTTAGAACATTCAAGACGTGTCTTCTTAGCCTAAAAGTGTTTACTTTCGGCGAACACAATAGGGTGATTTACATTTTAAATTAGAACGTCATTATTAAAGCATTTCTCATGCAATTATCAAGAAAAAGGCATTTAGTTAAGTAAAAGTAGGGTGAAAATTGTAAAATTCCTTAGTTTCACGAAAGAGAGAGAAAAAAGGAAACTAGAGGGATGTTAAAGTTTTAAGGAAACTTAGTGAAGGGTTTGGAGGTTGTGAAGGTCATGAAACCGAAATGCATAACTGCGCAGTTAGGTTCTTCTTTCGGCAGCAATTCAACTGTAATCGCCTCAGGGCGTAAACAAACCCGCCAGATTTTTAGCGATACATACCTTTTTAGAACCTAAAGATACCCGAAGATGAGCAATCATTGATCTCGGGAAAGTTTTAATCACCGGAGTGTGAGTAAATCTATCAAGTTACCATCTTTGGAGATCATGCGGATATTAAATGAGTGCAATTCATTATTACCTTTGCAAATTTGTTGTTTATTTTCCAAGTTGTTTTGACATCTGGTCGGAATGGTACAGTTGTAGTCAGTGGACATCTCTGAAGCATTGCCACGTTCTGCGTACCACGTGTAATTAGCAAAGACGCCGTTGTCATAATAGCCCATGGCCATGCAGGTTGAATTTTCATCTGCTTCATCCCATTGACTGGTACAAAGCTTTTGCCAACTGCTGTTTGAGAATATCTTCATTGTACCGACAGATGGGTTCTTCTCTGTTTCAAATCGCAGGGGAAATTCTTCAAATATTAAAAAAAAAAAACAATAGATAAATAAGGATAACAGTAAACAGCGTGGACTAATTAAGCTTAGGTAAATTCTTGTGTCGATGATGTCGCCATATAATTACCTAGTAACAGTAGTCCTTGCATTGCTGAAAGATTTCTTTTCAGTTTATGGTGGAAGAATTTTCTGTTTAGCTAAAATGATTTTCTTTGCCAGCTGCTCAATGCCAAAACTGAGGCCCTCGCATTGTCAAACATATTTCTTGTCAATAGATGATAGTTAGCTTTACTGGCTTGACTAGAAGGGTATTGCTCACGGGCAACGAAAAGAAATTCGTAATCGCCATTATGCATATAGTGCAGACTTCTTACAGGGCGACCACAAATATCAGCGAGAACTTGTGCCAAGAATTTAGTACCTATTGTAGTACAAATCATAATGGAGATTTGTTTTGTTTCTTTAAAGAAAAGCATGGTGAATTCCGTACAGGTACAGAGTTTGTGCATTCATGAAGGATTTCTGACTTATAATGAACTCCTGACTTTTGATAATTTGAGCATTTCATATACTTTGCCTGGATGATTATGTGATTAAAGTTAAAACTCAGAAGTTCCATTCATTTGTTCTTATTCTAACTTTTATTCCTGTATTTGTTCTTTTTTGTTTCAACAAAGAAGTTTTCATCCACTGAAATCAGAAAAGCTGCAATTTGTATGTTACCTTCTTGGCAACTGGACATGTTGCTACATTCTCTCAGCAGTGCTCCGGTCCCATCGCAGTATTTCCCACCATATGCTGGTTCTGGATTGGCGCATTCTCTCTGTCTGGTTTGTATACCACCAACTGGCTTGGTACAGATACTCCAGGAGTTCCACTCACTCCAGCCACCATCCACTTACAAAGTTTTAAACAAAAACATTTGATAAACAACCATAGAAGACATGTTTGGATCATTTACCCAAATAAAGTATGTAAGACAGTGGTGCAGTCTCTATTTCTACCTTTCTCTATAATTACTTCGAATGCTCAAGTTAACATTTGGTTAAGGTAAACTAATTAATTTGGTATTTGGCGCGATGCCGAAGGGTTTGCTATGAACTTATCGAGACATACTTCTGAGAGCAAAAACATAACTCGAGAGTGGTATTGGTGAGGGCCAGTGGGTTGGGGTCCAAGCGAGCAAGATGAACGTGAAACACTGGGAAGGTGTCCGACATAAATGGGTTTACGGCTTCGTCTTGACATGGGTTCTGGATAGATTGTCTGCTAAATTCAAGAGAGAACCTTTTCTATACACTATAGTAAAATTGTAACGCTTTAGGAAAAGCAACATCTTTTGCAGACACTTAGGTGCTAAGGCGAGGTCCTTCTTGAAGATTGACTGAAAGAGTTGGTGGTCTGTATAGACTCTGTTGGATTTTCCTAAAAGCAATTCCTCGAATGTGTTGAGGGCTTCAACAATAGCCAGGTATAGCACTCTTCGGTAGTGATTCGGCCTTTTGCAGTACGCAATGGGTCGTAGAGAAGACTCGTCAAGGGGGCTGCTACTGTGTGGTTTGATGTTTTGTAAGAGGGCAGCTCCTTGGCCATAGTCTGAGGCGTCCACTTGAAGGATCAGTGGCGCAGTTACGTCAAAGTATGCCAGGCATGCTGCAGAGGTGGCTAGGGCTTTTGCTGAATCGAAGGCTTCCTGGTGCCTTGTTGACCACAGTAATGGCATGTCCTCTTTGATGAGGTTGTATTGAAGTTGGGTGACGCTGTTAAGTTCGGAACAGAATTTGGCCAGGTAATTAATATCCCGTAGGAATCGGCGCACTGCTTGCTTTTCGGTTGGAGTGGGCATGTTGATCATAGCTTTAACTGTGACAGGGTTGGGCTGGAGGCCATCCGTAGTGGTAACATGGCTCATGAAAGTGGCTTTGCAAATAAGGAATTTCATCTTGTTGACATTTACCTTGACATGACGTTGTTCAAATCCCTCAAGCACGGCGATAAGGCTGCGGTCGTGGTCGATTCTGGCTTCCATGTTATTGACGCTGCAGCCAGGGATTAAGATGACGTGAGTAATACTGAAGCTTAGGAGGCCATCAAGCACCATATGAATTTGGCACTGCCGTTCTTTTGATGCAGAGGATATGACTAATGGTAGCCTAGTTCATCTGTAGCGACCCCATGGTGTGAACATTGTGGTAATCAGAGATGATCTTAAGGACAAGGGGATGGTTTGCCTCTTTACATCTATTCCTTCCATGCAGCTAGTGGATGTTTTCTTCCAAGGTGGAAATGATGTACTTTGGACATCGAATGGCTTTATTGAGGGTCTAAGAAGGTTCTAAGCAGCTCCGTATTTTTCCCGGTTTGGTTGGGATTGGTTTTGGCTCTCGGTTGAGATACCCTTACTAGCTGGCCAGTGGTTTCATACGCATCCAGGGCCGCTTTGATTGCATCCAGCTTTGAAATGGGTTCACATGGAATGGGGGCATGGATGGGTTTGACATCTGGATCCAAGTCGAGATCGACGGGTAGGCTGAGGAATCCCAGACCTTGAAAGAGCGAGGTTCAGTTCTTGGAAATGAGTTCCAGAGTTCAAGTCCTTAGTGTAGGCCAGACTCGCATTGACGTATCCGGGGGTGGTAAAGGGGGCCCAGCTGCTGATTCCTGATGGCTGTCAGGTTCAGTCAGCAGTGGCTGGGGAGGGTTACTTATGGAGCATTTCCTCATGAAGTCCGCATGCATAGTCAGCACATCAAGTGCTATGCTTGCCTCTGTACTGAGTAAGGCTGGTTGGTCAGTGAAAATGACTAGGAAGGTGAGGTTACTCGTGAATTTACCTTTACTGGCTTGGAGGGTAAGTTGGCCAATGGATCTGGTTGTTGGACTGTCATAGGGTGGTATCACAGTTTCGGATGGTAGAATCTTGGCCCAGGATATGCTGGAAAAGTAGCAGGATAGAAGAGTGTTGCAAGAGGCTGCGGAATTTATTTGGAAAAGAATTTGCGCTCTACAGTTTGAGACTGGTTCCTCCAAAAGAAGCCAGGCGAAATGGCCTTTGCCAGAGGGTGGGGCCGTTGTAGGGACGCCAGTGTTAGGGGATTACCCGCTTAAGATGGTGAAGCAGTTCTAATACTGTATGCCTTCCACGGGAAGGGTGTAGGAGTACTCTTCTTGTTCCACCAATCTCATGTATTCCCGTCCGGGACCCGGGGGGTAGGTGTATGGGAGGCAGGTCCAGAGGCTCCGTTCTTTTGGCAACCTGTTGACAGAAGCCTGCAAAGTGATCAGTTTTGTGACAACATCTGCAAGTGTGGCCTGAAGCTGGGCATATGTCGCGGTAGTGTTACTGCATGCTGCCACATAAAAAGTAATATCTGTCAAGGAACGTTCCAGGTCTTGATCTGCCCGGAGGTTTTTTGACCAATTTGTGCGCTGTCGTGGAAGTGGGAGAGTGAACTTGTTCTTCTGTGGTGGAATTAGCCAAAAGCTTGTTTGTATGTTGTGCCGCCTCAAACGATATAACTTGACTCACCACGAACGCCGGGGTGAAAGGGGGATTCTCCGGTTTCCGTTGGCCATCTCTGTAAAATATATCTTTTCGGAAGCGACTGAAGGATTCATTGAGACCGAAGAGAAACTTACCTCTCATAAATTCTTGCGCGTTTACGCCAAACGATCATCGCCCGACGGCAGTACGTATAATGGTTTCTTACGTTGAAATGGAGGTTTGGTAGCGGACTTGCATCAAACTAAATGCACCAGCGTAATGTTCTTTGATTTTTTGAAGCCAATCTCAGTTTTTTACAGCATCATCGTTCGATATCTTAGAAGTGATTTCGATGTGCAAGGTGTCCCATTCAGTTGAAGGAATTGCTAACTCGAAGGGTCTCTTAGCGACGATGTAATGGTCCTCAATCTCGGTGATTCTGCTTTTAGCGGGGTTTCGGTAACCTTCGAGTAAACATTAATCATGAAATCTGGTCTCCCAGTAACGGTTATTGTCACGGTCTGGTCGCACGGCTTGTACATCGAGGATAGACTTTGCGTGCTTCGACATAGTGCAATTGTGAAATGTTGGTGAAGGTTTGAGATGTTGCCGAAGAAGCTATTCAATGGTTGAATGGCAGTTGTATCTACGAGAAGCTGGCTCGCTGTAAAAAACGGTCCTGACACCATGTTAAGTAGTATACTTTTCTAGATTGAAGAAGAATAAGCACATGCGCAGCCATGATGAACTAATTTATTCACACCCCAAGCACGCGTTGATACGGGAACTTTTGAATGTGGTGTAATTATGCGCGAGTAATGAAACGGTAACATGACATAATCTCTGACTCTAAAAAATCTGGCTTTAACAGCGGAAGCAGAACAAAAAGCATAAGACACAAAGGGCGTAGACACACTTTAAAATATAGGCTTTAAGCCAAAGAAAAGGAGACAAATGAAACATTCCTAAAATGTCTCTCAAATTCATCCCAACACCCGTGACAAACGAATGTAAAATTAGACAACAACTCTTGCAAGATTTTGAATAATTTGCAATTTGCAAGACGAGTGCACCTCCAAAACATCTTTCACGGACAAAACAAAGAAGCACATCCGTTTCATATTAAATCCAACTGGATGCCACCGGTTCAGCCTTCTATTGCCCATGAGAGCGACTAAGAAAATGTCAAAACACAACTTGCAGAGATTACTGTAACTAAGCTAAAAAATAAATTGTCATGCAATGAGGTTATGGCTTTAAAAGAGTTGAGAAACAATTCTGTTTTAAACCTCAAAAAAGCAAACAAAGATACAACAGTCATCATGAATACAACTACAACTACAACCTTTCAGAGCGCCGATGGTGAAAAACACGCAGAAAAGGGTTAGTGAGATCATTGACCGAATGCGTCAGGGCAAACACATCGATGACATGACGAACAAATGGCTTTCACAAACTCCTAATCCGCTTATAATACCAATATTCTATAAGCTCACGATAATACACATGGCTATACTGGTCGGTAAACCTTTAATCTCAGGATGCGACGGCCCCACCGAAAAAAAATCATCTTTTGTGTAGACACTGCCCCAGACTATGGCGCAATTGCAACAATCCTATATGAAGGATGCCACTGCTTTTCACAATTTCATAGAAAAAACAAAGGTAGGCAAAGATACTATTCTAGTGTCAATGAACGTTTCTAGCTTGTACACAAATATACCTCAAGAAGAAGGAACGAATATTCTTTGTGAAGCATACGAAAAGCTCAACGACCATAACGCACCGATCCCAACGCGTCACCTCAGAGAAATGCTTGGCTTAATCTTTCAAAGAAAATTTGTTTTAATTCAATGAGGAGAACTTCCCTGGCCCAAACGAAAATGGGCAATGTCATTTGCCAATATTTCCATGGCGAAAATTGAAACGAAATCAATCCAACAATGCGAAACCAGGCCAAGAGAATGGAAACATTACACTGATGACGTTTTTTCCCTTTGAGATTAAAACAGGGAAGAAGTAGATAGTTTATTAAACGAGCTAACTATTTCCACACTACAATCAAATTCACGGCCGAAATATCAGAGAACAAAATCACCTTCCTCGATACCATGGTGTTTAAAGGAGAGAGATTCGCAAAAAATCCAACTTGGACTTCAAAACCCATTACAAGCCGACCGAGACCTTTCAATTTACGCACTTCGCCAAATGCCACCCACCAGGCGTAAAACATAGTTTCATTGAAGGCCAAGCAATCAGATTGCTTAGAACAAGCTCTCCGTGTCTTTTAAAATTCAAACAAAGCTTCAAAGCAAGAGGGTACCTAGAAAACATCATAGAAATTTCTCTGTCAAGGTCAACTTTGCTTCTAGGCAATCGGCTCTTACATATACACAAAATCCAAAAGGTTACAACGTACCACTCGGCAGTTAAAAATTTAAAACGAATATCGATGGAACATTGGATTCAGCCCTTGCTGGAGGCAATCTTTAAAAACCTCCGATCATCTCTCACAAAAAGGAAAATCACGCTCGTGAGAGCAAAAATGTAATTTGAAGGCTATAGTTCGACACGACCACAAAAGCCACATGGGGAGTCCGTGCTAGTCTGTTCTCACCTTTATTCTCGGGCTTAGAAAACCTCGAATGACCAGATTTGGGTGCTGCTCAGTAATTAAAATAAAAATTTCAGCATAAATATAAGACCCAACGTTCAAATGAGAAACAAAGTAGGCATGATAACTGTGCAGGAAGTCATGAATCTCAAGTGGAAACCTCGGAAAACATTTCAAATGGTTTTCCATTGGCTCATACAGTGAAAGTATGAGCAAATTCCTGTTAGGATGCAGCGAAAGCGAAATATAAAGCTTAAAACGGCGCGACCAGTTAGTTAAACTAAATTTTATAAATAGAAAACTTGATAAATGTTAAGAAAATAAATTTTTTAGTTTTTATCGCGGCATTCAAAGCGTCCTCCTCTATTCCATTAAGCCAAAGGCTTTCGATAACTTAAAATCTGGGATATCGTTTAGTATGGCGTTGTTTCGCAGGGCAGGAAAATTTTTCAGTTTTCTATGGTTTTACCGGGATAATAGGCGATAGATTTTTGACCAATTAGAATCTACGTTTTCTCTAAGTTCTGTCATTATGTTTGATTTACCGGTTGATCTAAACTCGTTTTTTAAATGTCATCAAAGCATCATTAAAATATCTTTTTATCCTTAATCAATTTTCTCTTTTATGTGATTTGAACTCGTAGATCTGATTCGCAAAATGAGCATTGTCTTCACTCTTGAATTTTTGCAGTAACGAAATTGAACATTTGTTAAAATCATGAACCATAACTCTTTTTCGTTTGTATGAATGAGAACTGTACCTCCTTTCACTTCAATCCAAAAGGTTGATTTCTTGCTTCCAGTGGGGTTTTCAGCGCTACATGTGTATTCGCCAGAGTCTTCAAACCTCGCTTGACGAATCGTGAGAGTGTTCTTTTTGCCAAGATGTATCCCATCCCTAGCCCAATGTACCTCAGGTGTAGGGAAACCGTTTAGAGAGCAATTGAACTGAAGAGGCGAATTGTATGTAACCGACTGATTGATGAGCTGAGGATTAATTTCAGGAGGACCTGGCCATGGAATTAAGAAGCACAATTCAAAAAAGGTGAAATAAGAGAAAAAAAAAACAGACAATGAAAAGAGTAACGGGAAGAGAAAAAGTAAAATTAACATTTACCTGTAACTGTAACCTGAAAAGCTGCTTCACTTTTCCCTTCACTGTTCTTAGCGCTGCATGTATATTGACCAGCGTCTCCATAAGTCACTTGTTTAATGGTGAGCTTGTTCGCGGTATTAAGTAGCTTTCCATCTCTTGTCCAATTCACCTCTGGTTGAGGAAAACCCCTCACAAGACAATCCACTTGAAGGGTTGAATTAAGTTTGACAGACTTCTCTCGCCGAGAATTAATTTCAGGAAGACCTTTATTTTTGAAAAGGAAAGTAATGATTAATGTATAACTAATGCCCCATTCCCTCCTCTATCCTTTCTTTTAACCGTCGCTCACCCCCTTCGTAAAAGTTTCTTCTCATCCCCAACTCCCTAATGTTGTAAAAATAAAAAAATGGCAGCGATAAGAAAATACTAAGAGCACTAAGCATTCGCTCGCCAAAATCGCGCCTACTGTGCAGCAGGTGCAATGGTAGTCTTTTCGTTTTACGACTGAACAAAATTTCCTTCGTTTTGCGAGAGAAAATGTAAATATAGCATCTAATCGGAAATAATAAAACTCCGGCAGAAAAAGTGTTGTTTTGAAGAGTGAGGTATTTAATGAAAGATCAGTCGAGCAACATTTTGCAATTTCTAAAACAGGAAATTAGTTCAGTCTTTTACTTTATCCTCATGGATGAAACCACTTACATTTACAAGGCCGTGATTCCTGAGTTCTGGAACAGTTGAATTCTAGAAGTAAGGTTATTTATATAATTTTTTTTAAGTAATGATGATTGGGCCTAAGTCAGCCCTTTTTTTAATAAAGAGAAACCATTTATTTACAAGAAGTAATGAACTTTCCGCCAAATTGTCCACCTAGGGAATAGAGAAACTGACAAACAATGCATTTTTTCAATTCAACTTAAACCTACATGTTTGGTTATCAATCCATTGGCCAAGGCGTAATGCCCATGACTTTAAATGCAGTCTATTTTGCCATCAATACATAAGAATTCATCCATTTCAATAAAAGCTTATTGATGTGCATGCAGTCTCTTGAAGCTGTAAAACAATAGTGAAAACCTACAAACACGCCTTTGAGTTACAAATACTGAAATTTTCGTCTTGTAACTTACCGACTCTTTGCCTGTACTGGCCGCACTCTTTGCAGCCTCCATTCCACGATGACCAGGCCATGCAACCTTTGAAAATGATACGTTGTGGGAAAAGAGTCATATGTGAAATCGCTTCCTTGTTTCATAAATCTGAAGCTTGCCATAAAGGATACTAAAATAAATACTTATTTTTGTTGATAACGTGAGTTCCTAAGGTCCAAGGAGGCTTCAAACTATAGCCTTCAAATTTAAAAGATTGATGCCTTGCCGTTCCCGATCTCGCCTCATTCGTATGCTCCCAACATCCTGCAGGAATTTTTCATTTAACCCGGGAAAACGCCAATTTTTTCTGTTTCTCAAATAGAAGGCTGTGCAAAAGCATTTTAAAGAAACAAACTAGGATTTCAATATCGTCAGCTTTGAATTCTTAACTTCCGCTGTTAAAGCTCCACCAGAAGATGGCTGAGGCCTGAGACGTTGGAATTTAATCCTTGTAATACTTAAAAGTTTGTTTCTATACTGGCCTATGCACACTGATATACTGATCCACAAAGAAACACTCTATCTTTCCTCCATTTTTCTATTGGGAAATATTCGTTTGATCAACCATTTTTATTATGCCTACTGATAAATAACAGTTAAAACATGCCTACTTACAATCTGTTAATAGTTAGGATAGGGATGTAAGGCGAACATGAAAAGAAAGTTTGCACATTTAATGAGTAAATAAACAGCTTAACCATGTATACACACCACAGGCTACACACACCATACTCTTCAAACATGTAATCAACTGAACATGCACTCACCCGCTTATAAATCCGAAAAGGATACCATGAAAGGGAAAAATAATTCAAACAAAGACATTTATTAATCTAATCATTTACTTATTTATTTTGAACTTAGCGCTTTGTTCGCTACGTTAATGCTCTCTGTTAAAGTAAATTATCAGATAACAGGTTTTGTAAATCAAACAGACAATGGGCTCCAACCGACATCTATGATATGTAATGATGATCACACAAACGTCTTTCATTATAGGACCTTGGTATTGGCAGGCAGACATCAATTACTGTCATTACATATTATGCTAACACAGCTACCCACAAAACTAACATCGTTTTCAATGAAAATATTTCAATAGTATCAGCGATCGCTAATGGTCATTGATATACACCTGCGGATTCCCTACCTCATAATAAGATTACCCCTTGTTGAGTTTATATTGACACACTAGAGTATACTTTAGTTACAGGAACGAACGATATTAATAGTTACCTTCAGGTTTTGCTAGGCAAAAAGGACGAGAGAAGAAAAGATGTGCAGTTAATGATACAAATGGCATAGCCCAATTGCAGTGCCACAACTAAATTTCTAACTCTATTTCCCAGAGCAGGATCCGACATAAGACAATGTCTCCAAAAGATAAACGTTAAATTTTGTCAAGGAAAGGGTGCATTTCTTAATTCAGTTTTAAATAAACGTTGGCGAAACTAAATTTGTTTTGATTTTGTCCCGGAAAATGTAGGAAATGATCCTTTTCAAATCTCCTGACAGAGCCTACGTCTATAAACTTTGCTCCTTTTTTCGGTTTATCAGCATGGTATAAGGGAAATGCATTACGTATATATGTATGTTGTAGCTATTTCTACAACCAAACGAGGAAACTTACCCGCTAAGTTTTCAGCATTGAAGAGAAAGAGAAATAAGTGATTTTAGTTACATGTGTGGGAGGACCAACAAACTTTAAAATAAGCGGGTCAAGAGAACGGAAAATGAGGCGAAAATACACATTCAATAATCTCAAAACTATAAGCAATATATGATTTACAATTCCCATGGGTATTACCGGCTCCTTTGTGTTTGGATGTTTATTCGTATCACAGCTAACCACAAGCCACGGGTCTAGTTTATCCGATACATGGCCAAATAATGTCCAGCAACTTAACCCATAAATAGTTCGTGTAGTGTGATCGTCCGGGTGAGTGTAGTTCTGAAAAGAACTGTTGTTGGTGACTGACGTTTCGACTATCTGTGCAGTAGTCATCTTCAGAGTCAAGTAAGGAGTAGATGTCAGTCGATGATGTTATAAAGTCTGGTCTGTGATAGGTCTGTTTAGCCGTGATGTGATTGGCTGGAAGATTCGTGTGGAGTTTGTTAACAGTCATTGGTCGGTTTCGATCCGTCTGTTGTTTGTCGGTCTGTTTGTCGGTTTGTTCACGTCGTTAATGAGTCGTTTGTAAGGTACTGGTAATTGTTGACATCTGTTGAGAGGCGTCTGTTCTAAGTTAGTGAACCAGCTTTCCAGAGTCAGTCGTTGAAAATAGTTTGTACTGTAGGTTAAGCATTTAGCAGAGTCCCAGTCGATTCTGTGATTAGTTTGTCGGTGATGTTCAGAAATGTGATTGTTTACATCGCCATTTCTAGTTGCTCGTTTGTGATCAGTTAGTCGCGTGTTAAGGTTTCTACCAGTCTCACCAATGTAGGAGGCCTGGCAGTCGGAGCATTCGATCTTATAAATCGCTCCCTGTCTATTGTTGGGTTCGTCTTTGTCTTAAACGTTGGTCAGCAAATGTCGTAAAGTAGTAATAGGCCTGTGAGCTACGCGAATGTTGTAAGGTTGTAGGATCCGCGCGATAACCTCAGAAGTGCCTTTAATGTAGGGTATAGCAGCCGTAGTCGTGATAGATGTGGAGTCCCTGTTAGTTTCTGTAGTGTCGGTCACCCTGTGAGTGTTTCGTCTAATGAAGTCAGTGTTGTAGTTGTTTTTGTCAAAAACACGGTCAAGGTACTTGTTTTCGTCAGATAAACTGTTCGGTGTGTTGCAAACAAGTTGCGCTCGTCTTGTCAATGTCTTGATAGTCGTAGCCTTGTGGGAAGTCGGGTTGTAGGATGATTCGTCAAGAAGTCTGTCGGTATGCGTCGGTTTTCTGTATAATGTTGTTCGTAGTTCGTTGTTGTTTCGGCCTACCAAACAGTGGAGAAAAGGAAGCTTGCTGTCTTCTTCGATCTCCCTGGTAAACTGAATGTCGGTGTTTTGTTTGTTAAGGTGATCGTGAAAAGCGTCAATTTCGTCTCTGTGTACGGCGGTAAATGTGTCGTCAACGTAGCGTAACCAAAGCGGTATGGTTTGTCGGCAAGTTGCAAGGGCGCGTTCCTCGATGTTTTGCATCACAATTTCTGCGACAACAACGGAGACCGGCGACCCCATAGCTGTTCCATGCAACTGCTTGTAGTGTTTCCCGTTATACTAAGTTAAGTAGGTCCATAATGTCTTCTGTCGGTAATGGTAGTGCATCAGTAGACTGTTGGATGGCGGTTTCAGTACACTGTAGAGCCAATTGAAGTGGAATACTGGTGAACAGTGATTTCACATCAAAAGACACAAGTTTGTAGTCGTCAGGTATCTGTACGTCTTTGATAGCGACAATAAAGTTCTCAGTTGATTGTAGTTTACGTCTCGATTTGTCAGTCAGTGGTTGCAGTATCGTCGTAAGGTATTTCGACAGTTGGTACGTCGGGGACCCACAGAATGAGACTATAGGTCGCATAGGTATCCCAGGTTTGTGTAGTTTCGGTAGTCCGTAAAGTTTAGGTGGTTGTGGTACAGAGCACCTCAGCCGGTAGTAGCGTTGAGTGTCAAAGGCTTCGGTCTTTTTGAGCGTAAGTAGTTTGTTGTTGAGTTTGCGTTGTAGTGCTGGCGTCGGGTCACGTTTAAGTAATTCGTAAGTTTGTTTGTCGTTAACAAGTGCGTCCATTTTGTCATAGTAGTCAGTCTTGTCCATAACAACAGTAACACGTCCTTTGTCGGCTGGTAGTATAACAATGTTCTTGTCGTTTTTCAGTCGTTTCAGTGCTTGTTGTTCGTCTTTGGTTAAGTTGCTGTCAGTTATAGAGGCTGATTGTATCGTGGAAGCAATTCTACTTCTGATGTTGTCCTTGGCAGATTCTGATAAGTCTCGTTGACGAGGAAGAGCCGCCTCAACACTTGACTCCGAAGATGACTACCGCACAGATAGTCGAAAAGTCAGTAACCAACAACAGTTCTTCTCAGAACTACACTCACCCGGACGATCACACTACACGAACTACCGATACTCCTAGGTTCAAACCATTTACTTTATTAACCCATAAAGCAAGGAGTTTATTTGAACACCAGTGAATGGACGATCCCGGAACACATGCTCTTTCGACGTAACAATTGTCTGTCAAAGTCTATTAACATATCAAGATCTAAACCAGGAATAAATTATCCTTACAGATTAAAATATAAATTTGTACTTACGTACTAATCGTTTTCGTCAAATACCAAGGCCAAGGAGTGAAATGAAAAAAGTCAACAGAAAAACAAGTGAATTAAATTAGTTCAGTAACGAGTGGGTTTATATTCATTTGTAAGTCGTCCAGAACTTCTGATCAACAGATTGGTTTAGTGCAAAAAAATTTATCTACTTATTACCTTAACTCTTAGTTTCAAAGCGATGAAATCTCAGTTTTGTGGTCTACTACACATACCATTAAAGCTTTAACCAAATTGGACAACGGGATCATACAGAATCTTTTATTGGTTAACTTCCACCTTGAATATTAATCTTTATTAGAGCCCAGTTAAAGACAAAGTAATTCAATTTCCAATCATAGGTTCGGAAGCAAAACGAAAAACATGTATATATATATATATATATATAAAGGACATGTATATTTGTAATTATGATTTCACATTCATTATTTATTCTTAATAATGATAGTAAAAAAAAAATGCAATTTAAACTATTGCCAAGACTAAATAACGTTGTGCTACATGATTTTTATTGCTGTTGTAGGCAGGCAAATGACAACTGAAACCCTCCAAATTACTATAAAAAAATCATACTTACGATCTGTTTGCCAGTTAAGGTAGGTTACAAGAAAAAAAAACAAACATATATTATATTAAAGTTCACAAGGCAACCAGATGGACAATCAGACATGGTTTGATGCTACTCTGGTTAAAAGGTTTAATGAATGTAACCGTGAAGTTACAATCCATAGACCCTATGTTTCGACACCCCAGTCTAGTGCCTTCATTCAGGCGGGTGATTAGTGAGAATATTAAAGGACCTCTTGTCGCAGCGATTAGATCAACCCTGATGAAGGCACGAGACGGTAGTGTCGAAACTTTGGGTCTATGAATTGTCATTTCTCGGTTACCTTTATAAAATCTTTAAACCAGGGTAGTATCAAACCATTTCTAAAAAAATATGTGTCAGTTAGAAATGCACATTCCTTAAAGTTGTCATCGCTAATAGACAAATGTATTTTTTGTTTTGTTTTATCGCTTCTTATCTCACGTGTTGCTAAGGTTAAGTATCGTAATGATTCGATTTAGCGCCCGGGTGCGTATTTACCTTTGTTACCGCAGAGGTGGCCGCTTATTTGAAAGAGGGCGCTTATTTATTTCTTGAGAAAATGCTGATGGTTGTTTTTGTACTGGGAATTGAGAATGGGCGCTTATTGGGATGAGAGTGCCTACTCAAGAGGGGCGCCTATTGTGTAACACAAATTCGAGAGAGGGGGACAGTGCTTCTCAACATGGTTAGTGGTTTGTTGCGCCGATAAACCAATAGAACGTGTGGTGGTTTAATCGCTATGAAGCAAAGAAAACGTTACTTACGCCCTGGTTTGTCAAATGTGGGTCAGTGCAACATCAAAAGGAAAATGAAAAGAGAGAAACCATAACGAATAAATTAGCTCATAAACTACCAATAATTCGTGAGACAGTTCTTATTTACAACGCAAGTAAAATGTAACTCAACAATCTATTTTTCTTCTGACGTAAAAACGTATGTCTTATTTAATACTTTTCTTTGGCTTGTGATTTACAAACTTTTGTCGTGTTGTCCCAACATACTAATTGGTTCATTGCGCCGATAAACCAATACAAGGTGTGGTGTAATCGCTATTAAACAAAGGAAACGGTACTTACCAGCTGATTTGTCAAGTGTGGGTCAGTGCAACAGATTAAAAAGTAAATGAAAAGAGAAATAAAAGCAAATGGATTAACACACTAACTACCATTAACTCATAAGACACAGTTCTTACTTACAATGCAAGAAGAATGTAACTTAACATTTCAATTTTTTCTCTTACGTCAAAACGTTAAACTAATTTGATAAACCGACAGAAAGTGTAGTTGATCGCTATTAAGCATAGAAAACGTTACTTACTCCCTGATTTGTCAGATGAGGGTCAGTGCAACAAATTAAACGGAAATTGAAAAGAGAAAAAAAAGCAAATAGATTAACACACAACTACCATTAACTCATAAAACAGTTCCTATTTACAACGCAAGAGGAATGCAACTTAACATTAACTTTTTCTCTAACGTTAAAACGTTTAACTTATTTGATACTTTTCCCCGGCTTATAGTTTACAAACTATTTTCGTGTTCTCCCAACATACTGAGTGGTTAATTACGCCGATAAACCGATAGAAAGTGTGGTTTGATCGCTATTAAGCAAAGAAAACGTTACTTACACCCTGATTTGTCAAATGTGGGTCAGTGCAACAGATTAAAAGGAAAATGAAAAGAGAAATAAAAGCAAATGGATTAACACACAAACCACCATTAACTCATGAGACACAGTTCTCATTTACAACACAAGAAGAATGTAACTTAACATTTCGTTTTTAACTCGTGAATTGCGCGCATGCAATTTCAGGCTTTTGAGGCCATTTGATAGTTTTTTGGGAGTAATAAACAAACGAAATGGCGACCTTTGTTGCTAAGAATAGTGGGGAGGTGAAATAGAAGCCAATGTTAATCTTAAAAGAGTTTATTTTTTTCGTATTAGTTTCAACAAGCGGAGCTAGTGACAGGCGTGCGAGGAATCACAATTAAATAAAAGAACAACCTTCGTTTTCCATAAAATTGTAATTTACAATCCTTGAGCTTGAAAACAACCCGAAGATTCATTAAAAATATCACTAACTCCGAAGCGCTCGGAGTTTTGCAGGTGCTCAAAAGCTTTTTCTGTTATAGCGTGATTTTAGGGACAAAATCGATCATTATATTTCGTATCGTATGTTTTCCTGTGTGGAGCAACAAAAGGTCCCGGCTACTGACGAAATTACAGGTTAACACGAAAATCAAATAACACCTAAACAAATAATTTTGGCTACCGATTTCCAGTGAATTTTTAAAGAACAATTTTCTTTTAAGTTTCAAGACAATTTGAAGATTCTAAATAGATATTACGTACGAAAATGCGAAAGTTATACATCACAAAATGGATAAATAGGCCTGAAATGAAATACTATCTTGTTCTTGATTATACGTTGCCTAGCACGTGACCAAAATTTACCCAAGTGAATATCCAAAATGACGGTGGCAGTCTTGGCTTAGTTATGTCACTCAAAACTCATTCCTGTTTGTCTCATTTGATAAAGAGGGAATCATTAATGTTTTCCTTAAGACAGTATTGCCTTGATTTCCCAATATTTACAATGATAGACAGTAAATTTCACTTTTCACCCACATTTACTTCCAACCTTTTCTTTTGAACCAGAAACACAAATGATATATGTATGTTATTTGCCGGCTGGGAGGTCCATATGATGAAAAACATTTCAAGACCGAGGTCAAAGTTTTTCACCATACGGACCGACCCTTAGCCGGTAAATAAATATTTATTTTTTTTAAACTTGACGAAATTCTTTCCGAAAGAACCCGAATGATTTAGGGCTGTAAATACGGCAAAATCTTTCATAAACTGAACACTTTTTGAGGGAGTAAATGGTGGTTAAAATAGAGGTGATGCAAATTAAAGAGAGATGCCTCACCGAAACACTTTCATTTCCGTAACGATAAAGGTGATTTAAAAGGCTTCCAAAGAAACCTTGAAACATTATTTTTACAATTATCTGTCACAATCTGACACCTGTCAATTAGGGAGCGCATAAGAAAAAAAAAAGCGCAAGAACATTTGAAAAACAACGGAACTAGTTTGGCTAGGACTATCACGACAATGTTTTCTTCAAAAACAGTCGATGATCTGACGGATAGTATTATTCACTCTCATCGACGATTCATTCATGTACGAGGATTTACCTCTGTTCATTAAGTAAACGGCGAGGAAAGAAAATGTGAGTAAATTCAATTTTTTTATTTTGAAGTTGTGAGAGTTTGCTCGTTTGTTTGCTGCAATGACGTATGTAAATCTGGTCTTTCCT